TTATTTCCAGTCTTGTGCCCCTAATTTATTTATGTAATGGTGCAAGTTAATCCATATTGCGTCATTTATTTGTTCACAGGCCAATTCTATGCTTGAGGAGGAGGTTCAATACCTTCGTGTCGCCATGGGACATGAAAGTGAATCTTTGGAAGATTTTGTGAAAGCACATGATGCATGCCAAGAGGACCTTATGTTTTTTCCAAATAACAACAGCTATGGTCTTGCCAGCGTTGCTGGAAATTCTGATAAGATAGCTGCTTTGCAATATGAGTTTGAAATTGTGAAGAAGAGAATGGATGATGAAGCTAAGAAGGCTTCGCGGCTTGAGCAGAAAATCAAGCTTCTGACACAAGGATACCAGGTAGGCTTGGGATGATGCACCATAAGCATTGCAACATGTCTATATTAGCATTACCGATAACATGGCTTCATTACTCTTTTATCTATCTCCCATTTTGTTGTATTGAGAATGCAGTGTTTGAAATTTCATCCCAAGGCTAAAACACAAATGTTGTGTTTGCTTTTACCTGCCATTTAACATTTCCTACTAAACAGTGTCTTTTTCACTTGATACTGATTTTGTTCTCTGATTGCATGTTANTTTTTACTTTTTANGACCTCTTCGTTATGCTGATGTCGAACATACCATTTGATTTTTTAGGTACGAGCTGGTAAACTCTGGTCACAGGTTCAAGATACATTCAAGCAGATGGACACTTCAGCAACAGAGCTTGAATGCTTTCAAGAGCTGCAGAAGCAGGAACAGATGGCTGCATCTTATCGTATAAGAAATTTGACTGAAGAAGTAAACAAACAGAAAGCATTAGAACGGACTCTCCAAAGCCGCTATGGTGATCTGTTAACTAGTTACAAGAGGATCCAAGAGCAGCTTGAGGAGCATAAGAGGCAACTGATGATACAGGAGGAAATGGAAGCACAGAAGCGTGCTCAGGAGGAGGAGGAAATGGAAGCACAGAAGCGTACGCAGGCAGAGGAAGAAAAAGAAGCGGCGAAAGCTGAAGAGGAAGCAAGAAAGATGGATAGGGCTGCTGATGAAGAAGCGGCAGGAAGCAAACAAGTCAATGAGGATCAGATGGATGTTGACAACTCTAATGCTGATGGTGATGAATTCGTAGGTCCGATTCCCCCAGGACCAGGTACTCAAGGTGACGACAATGTGGTGGCGGTCGAAGAGAACTCTAGCTCGCAGAGCGGTGATACTGCTACCACGGAAGATGGATCTTGTGGCATGATCGACGCATCAAAATCAGGAGGTCAGGATCACATCGACAGCAAGGATGAACTTCCCACTGTTGGTGCCAGTCTAGATGATGGAAGTGCTGCTGCATCTTCTGATCAAGATGTCTCAACTGAGGTGAATGCCACTGTCCCTGAATAGAATGTCATTTCTTGTACTTCATCTTCGAGGGCGGCACAGAGAAAGCTAAGAGGGACGGATACCTTGAGAGAAAAAAAAGAAGAGGCAAATTGAATGTCCAAAGCTGTGCACTGAATTTTTATTCGCTGCTTGATTGTTAGTGAACGACAAAATGCGGGACTAAGCTTGTTGTACAATGTTAATTTTGTCAATTCCCATTGAGGACTCTCAGCTCTTAGAATTGCTACGAAAGAATGTTAGTTCGATGTACTATCTGAGAAATTGAACTTGAAAAAAGAAAAAAGAAACAATGCCGATAGATGTGAGATCTCTAATTATTTCTGCAAAGATCATTAGGTCTAGACGTCTGTCCTATCTTATATAGTTTATGCCCTTAATGTCCCACTTAATGTAGTTAAATGTGACTTTGCTACCATAGTATACATCCTCCTTCCAACTGCTGTGTGAGACGAAGTGAGACCGACTTTCCCGTTTAGTTTATGTAGGGGGTGAACTAACAAGTATATGATATGAGACAAATGGATTTCAGATTTCTTGAAGAGGAGTTGGTGCCTCCAAAATAGGGGCTTTGGGAGTCGAGGAACTATTCAAGGAACAAAGTCCTCCTTGCATCCGAGTTGAGTGGGACAGAAGATAGTGGCATAGGTGGCGACTGTGCAACACTGCTACAAAGGTGCCGACTGCCGTCAGTAGCAGCTTGGGGATCCACCAATCCTTTGTGTTTGGCATGCAATGAGTATCTTCCTGGAATTACCACACCCATAGTGTAGTGCCCGAAGCAATGGCGATTCGCACTGGCATCAAGAATATGGCGACTGCTTTTCTGGCTTGTTCCTTTAAACATGTTAATCGTTTTGTCCAATGTTGCGGCATACAACCTACTATCTCGTTCTTCTGAGCTCTTGGCATGTAGTAGTATTGTCTTTCGAGATGAAATTGCGGAGTGTATCTGGGATGTGCTGCTCTGTATTGATGCTGCTTAATCAATTAAGTGCCGTGATTATCTTTTAAAAAAATATAATTGTCCAGGCCTTCCAAGTCATTATTTCCTCTCCATATATATACATACATAAATTTGGGCCGGCCCAACATACTCCACCTACCTAACCAACAGATTTGGCCCATTATATTGTTTTCTTTGGTTACCTCATCCTCCAAGTTTCAGTGCAGACGAGCTTCGCCGTTTCATTGTCTGCGGATCTACAAATTGCTGCATAAGAAGATCCAAAATTGGTGCACGTGTACGTATCACATCATCAGATTAACAATCTTTTTTTTGGATATTTTCTTTTCTCAATTTTATAATCGATCAATTCATAACTCATACTATTTACTGTTGGTATTAGAATTCTCAGGTTCATGATTACCACGTAGTGTTTGATCAAGCAATTTTTTTTGAGGCCAATTACTTCTGTTAGCAAATCTAACTTCCAACTGTCTAACGCCGAGTTCGGTTGAACAAATAGCTAGTACAACAACTTTCTCAATCGCTATGAGCACGCTTATTAAACTGCTATGTTTCTTGCAAAAGTTAAAATTCAATAAATTCATTTTTTTATATTTATAGTAACTAACACTCAATTAATACTACGCTAATGATTTGTTTTATTTGAAGTGCCACAGAAAATCCTAGCCCAAGACTCATGGTGATGTAGATCGATACCAAAACCAGAGATTTACATATATATACTGATATACAGTATACTGGCTCACAATAGACTCATCTGATTTGGTATATGATTATCTTTGATTAGGCGCAACCTCTATTTTCTACATAACAGGGTTTTCTATTGTTACGCAGCAACGTGCAGGGTTTTATTTGATTCGGCTGTGTTCGGTTGGTAATGTTGAAAACTAATCCCCCACGCAGTAAAACAGAGTGACTCATTAGTATATAGTATTGATTAATTAAGTATTGATTTATTTTTTAAAATAAACCAATACTCCCTCTGTCCCAAAATGTAAGCATTTTTAACTATGAATCTGGACAAGCCAAAAGTTGCTACATTTTGGGATGGAGGTAGTATAATTTTTTAAAGCAACTTTCGTATAGAATTTTTTTTAAAAAATATACTGTTTAGTAGTTTGAAAAGTATGCACGTAGAAAATGAGAGGTTTGCTAAAGCACCCTGTTGTCTCATTCCTGTAGACTTGGAGAGTGCTACTTGAATTGAGACAGATAGGCAGTTTTGACAATTTCGAGTACCCTTTTTTTCGAGAATCCAAGGAAAAAGACCGAACCACCGAAAAATCGGTTTTTACATGACTGCGACCATCTCTCGGTCAATTCGGTCTCGGTCCTGGTCTTTGGTTTTATTTCACCCACTGTAGTTTATGTCGCTGTAATAACCGATAAAGTCCAGTCCAAACAGCAGGATTTTCTGCAAGGATCCTGTGGTGATATGGTGGCAGCGAAGATGCCGGCAATGACAGGAATCCAACATGTGAGAGCACGTGATTTCCTGGTACCTTACTAGCGACTTGCGGAACAGCACCGGGGTTACTCTTAAAGTTTGGTAGGGTTAGCCTTAGAATTCATTGGTAGTAATCCACTTCGGATCCGGCAATAAAACCAGAGGTGTACAGTAAAATGTGTCTGGCGCTACAGTGGAAGACAGTAATTTGTAGTAATTTACTGTAGCACGGTGCAAAATCAGCGAAAGATATTGCGCATAGTTACCATTCACCGATGTAATGTAGCAATCGCTCTCGCTTGTTCACTGTGAATTGGATGGCTAAAAATACTCCAAAGTCACAGCCCTGTAGCTCTCTGACTTTACACATGTGAAGTCAGAGGATCCATATCCATATACTTCCTCTATCCTAGTATAGTTTTAGAATTGAAAGATCAAATTAGTAGAAAAAACGGACTAACTAAATGCTCTTCGTTAAATAGACGGGGTTAGTGCGAAGGTAGACTGAGAGTAAGATGGGAAAAAAGTTTGAATAAAAAGTAGTTGGAGGAAAAAAATTGTAAATAGGACAATACTTATTATGGGACGGATGTAATACTAGGGTGATTTCAGCAACAACCTAAACATGCCCATATATGCAAAAACTTTATCCTTGGTAGTTTTTACCTCTTTATAGGAGTATAGGAAAACAAGAGAAAACTAACATAGACTTTTTAGAAGGGAAGTATATACTAATATTTTTCGAGGTGCTGATGATGTGTCAAATCTGCAGTTCTGAAATACATAATGTCGACTTAATGTTGATTTGCATGGTTGCTGAACATCTTAGTTTGAGCCCTGGAATATCAGGACACTAGGAAACGTCTAGAAGATTTCAGCTTAAACTACCTTTTTATGGTGAGTACTCCAAATATGAAACTCAAGTTAATCTGACGTGATGTCAGAAGGCTTCTTTCTTCTTACTTCCTCCTCATAGAACACTAAGGACCTATTCACTTTGTTGCCATTTTCAACCTTACCAAATTTTGATAAAGTTGCCAAAAAAGTGGCTACATTTAGTTTGCTGTCAAATTTTAGTAACTATATAACAAATCCTGCCAACTATGCCAAAATTTTGGTAATAACAAATTTTGGTAAGGTTTTTTTTGACATCAAAGTGAACAGGCCATAAGATTTAAAATTCAAAATTTTGTGAAAAGCCTAATATTGCGGTCTCTGCAATGATATTATCTCCAGACTGAGTCTTAGTAAGCAAACTCATAGTGTTCAGCATATGCTGAAGGATTGCTAATCTGAAGAAAAATTCATTCGGCTGCCTGTTTCAAATGACCAAGATTCCAAAAACAGGCAGGACCAACGAGTAAAAACTCTTTACTATTATCTATGCATATGCGGATCTCCTATATACTGAAAAAGGAAAATAGCTATATATGTATCTCAACATATACATCAAATGAGCATCCTCATGCATTGTTCATCGTTCCTCCAGCTTCATCTTCGTTGCTGGAGCTAACATGAACAATGCCTATTGTGCATCGTCCTCTTCATCTTCTCAAGGATCCCAGAAGCTTTCCTCCTTGCCCTTTGAGTGCCAGTTTGTGCGAGAAAAGTGAGGGAGCCGTTTATGCTCTCATCTGCCTCGACCTCCTTCAGCTTTGTCCTGTTGTATGTACATATAGCGAAGAGAACTACCATCGCGTTCTCTTTGCTGCGCTTGCACTCACTCTCCCTTATCGAACGGAGCATGGAAGCGGTACCGTTGAACTCGGTGATGATCTCCACCATCTCTTGATTTCTTGATAGCAAAGCAAGTATAGCTAAGGACTCCTCAACAAGGGACTGATCATCGATGGCTCTCATCGCCACATCGACAATTCCGCTCCTTGCGGCTATTGACCTGTTCTCATGGAGCAGACAAAGATTGAAAATCGCAGATGCCGCATCTTTCTTCGCTATGATGCTGCCATGTTCAAGGAGATCAATCAAAGGATCCATTGCCCCTAACTTGCCAATCTTCTCCTTGTTTGAGTCGAGAGCTGACAGAGTAAAGATGGCAGCTGCAGAGTTGCTACGGCTCCCCATATCTCCCGATTTCAGTGCCCATATGAGAAATTGGATGGCTTCTGAATCATCTCCAATGATCTTCTTATTGCTATCATGGATTGAAAAGTTGAGAATTATAGTCACCATGTCCTCCAATACCTGTGGATCATTCTGTAATCCTGGGGTGGACCGTGCCAAGATCATCTGTGCGATGGAATCTGGTCTCTGTCCTAAAACAGCTCTGAATTCGCTGTTACGTTTTGTAAGAAGCCGAAGATCCTTGATTGCTTGCTTCCGTCCACCACTGTTTGCTGAGGAAGTTATTTTGACAAATATTTCATCAAATGTTTTCTCCTCACTGTTGGTAACATGATCTTGTTCTTGGTTCTCAATTTCTGGCAGAGTGAGCCCATTTTCTGTGCACCACTGTGAGATCATGGTACGAACAAGGTGGTTAGGAATGACAATTGTGTGTGAGAGCACTTGTTGAGTCTGCGGGCATATCTGGTTTCCTGCACTAAACCACTCCTGAATGGAACGACGATCATAGGTCTGCATGGAACAAGAAATAAAGATCAGTTGGATAACGTCTCTAGGTTCTTGTTCTAGTTGTTAATGTGGCGATGTCAAATTTAAACCTAACACTTTGAAACCATCCACTTGTTTATTAACTCTGGTGATTTTCCCCCAATGTTGTCAAGTTATACGTAGCTATTTCCTTACCATATTTGTTGACTTACTATTTTGCTCCATATTCCTAGAGAACCTCATCATATCAGCATATTTAAACAGTAAAAATTCACCTCGGTACTCATAAAGGCAAGTAGTGACAGAAAACACACCAATAGCATGGAACTGACTAGCCAAAATAATATACAAGATCCAGACTTCACACTACACGATCCAAATGTATGTCATAATATTATTAATTCCAGTACAATCAGTATGCCATTACTGCAACTTCATATAAGTACCAATGCCATACTATATAATTTCATAAAATTTTCATACTAACAAATATTGGTCAATACAATGGCCAAATTTGGTTTTTAGAACGCATGCAAAGTGCTCCATCCACTTATGAAAATTTCAGTGTTTAAAACATACATATCTCATTCATTTATGCATGAAGCAACGGAAACCATGCTAAACCTTTAGGTAATTCTGCATGTTGTGGAGTGAATATATAAGATAATACCGTAACTAATACTTACCAAACAAGTACTAGACATAAATTTTTTTGCCTCAATAACCATTCAATTCACACGTTTCGCATGTAAAGAAAGCAAACCAACTCCATTATGTGACAATTACAGGGTTTAAATGGAACCAAATCCATCTTTAAAACATCCGAATCTTTTACGGGAATCCCATCACAACAGCAATTAAATGTGAAAATTGAAACTCTTCGATTCACATACTCCAAAGAACGAATTAAAACTATTCTAAAATTGGAGATGCGGATTACAGGTACTAATCCCTCCATATCCACGCAGATCTACCATCAATCATGAATCAAACATTCGCCGAGAGAGTACCGCTTTCAATTTCCTGTACTAGCAACAAACTGTACTAAACAAATATAATTAAGATCCTAATATTAGGGACCTCTAAATGTACCAAATGTGACAATTGCAGTTGCTCTGCAGCTTTACCTACTCAAGGCATTGTCAAGTACAGCTACAAACAGCTCTTCTGTTGACCACCACATATTCAATAGCTTCCAACTAACAAATTTGCTGTAACCACAAACAGTGGTAAACAGACAAAAGAACCTAACAATTTGGAAGCCCCAAACACGGCACATCTTCGCACTGATTGGAGCAAGAATCGGCAGCAATCATGTTTGATGTACTCCCGGCGGGAAAAAAAGTACCATCGATTTCACACAGGACGAACCACGTACACGGATTCCGAGGGACGAACAGTGCGTTAATCGTTCACCAAATGCGGCGCGGTTGGTTGAATCGAACTAACGCAAGAACGACCACGACGTTTGTGCTGCTGCCCAAGAACTGAATGGAAGAATGCTTGGTGGGTGATAGCCGATCGAGAGCAGAAATTGACCGCGTTTACGAGGTGAGCCGCAGGATTGTTGGCACCGACGGCGCAGTCAATCGAACGAAGGAACCCCCCCCCACCCCCCCCCCCCAAAAAAAAAAAGATGAAATGAAGCAAAGAATTAATGGAGGTGAGGTGAGGTGCTCGGCGGCGGACTCACCTGTCCGGACTCGATGACGACGGGGTCCCTCATGATCCCGGACGAGATCGGGCACAGGAACAGCGCCGGGACGGCGGCGGCGGCCGCCTCCTCTCCTCCTCCGACGCCCTTCCTCCCGACGCCGACCTCCGCATCCCGCAGCGCCGCGAGCGCCGCGGCGGCCTCGTCGAGCACGGACTCCGAGGCGGCGCCGGCGGTGGCCGCCGCCACGAGCCTGCGCAGGCGCCTCCGCAGCGCCGGCGCGTCCTCGTCCTCCCGCGCCCCGGCCGCCGGCGCCGGCGCCGGCTTCGCCATGTCGGTGATGGGGACGCGTCGCGTCGCGGCGGCGGCGAGGGGAGAGAGAGGGAGAGAGAGAGAGAGAGAGTGGGAGGAGTAGACTAGACGGGTGGGAGAGTGGGAGGGAGAGGTTTTTATTTTTTTATTTTCAATTTAATTTAATTTAATGTAATTTAATTGGAAAGGCTTTCTCCTTCAGTCGCTCGCTTGTCGCCACGAGGGCTCCAGATGCTGTAAGGAAAAAAAAAAACGCCCCCCGTTAATGGCCCTCTTCCCAACCAATCTCCCTCGTTTTCCGCACACACGCTGTTCAAACTGCTAAACGATGTATTTTTTTTTACAAAAAATTTCTATACGAAAGTTGCTTAAAAAAACAAATTAATCTATTTTTTTAAAAAATAGCAAATACTTAATTAGTCACCCGTTAATTGCTGCTCCGTTTTCCGTGCGGGCACTTTGTATTGGGAACCAGGGGTTCTGAACACAAGTCTAATGCCTTTTATTTCAGCTTGATATTATTATAATCTAAATTATTGAGTTAGATTACTGTAAACTGGATTATAATAAGCCAACATAGAATAAAATATTAACTGTTTGTTTCTCAATTATTAGTTGTTTGTTAGCTGTTAGCCACCCAATAATCTAAAAAAATATTTAGAGTGGATTATCAGATTATAGTAATCTAGCTTATAGATTGTAATAATATATCATAATAAGCTATTTGTTTATTTCAGCTTAGTCTTAATAATCCAGATTATAAAATCCTAAGTTTTATCAAATAGGGTCTAAGCCTAAACAAACAAGTAGCCTTTTCATTTAGTATTTTTTTTGGAGTCATAAGCCACTCTAGCACTATTATTAAGCCAAATCTAGGTTAGAGAAGTTTTTTTTTTTTGGCTTGTGTGAGATAGATGTATGACTCCACCATTAAACTTAGGACATTAAATCTACCGGTTTATAAATCATATAAGCCAATGAGCTGACTTAAAAATCTAACCCAATAAACCTAAACCTAAACAAAGAAGACCTAATTAAGATACAGATTAAACGATGCAGCCATGCAAAATTTCCCATGCAGTCATACAAAATTTCCAGTTATTAAAGTAATCGTAGTGTTATTACATCGTTGGATTGTAGTTACAGATTTTTGAAAATTACATAAAAGTTGTATTATAATTACATACAAGCTACGATGTAATTACACTTCAACTACATTATATTTACATATGTTAAATTTTTAGGAGAAAATTTATCGACGAATGTATAGTTTTAATGCAATTTACCAAGTAGTGTCACTGAGGTTGCGTTCCTAAGTACTACCTTATAGCAAGAGCTGCTTTCTTATTTATCGTTAGCATACTTCATTCTCAAACTGCTAAACAGTTAATTAATATTCAATTATTCATATGCTAATCACTCATCTCATTTGAAGTGCTTCCGATAGCCCGAGCCTTTCCTCTTGATCGAACCATCGATTTAAAAGGATGCAATCGTATTCCTTCTAACCCTTTATTTAGGCATTTTTATATTAAAAGGGTGTAATTGTATTTTCCTAACCCTTCATTTAGGTATTTTTGTATTTTACATAATAAGGTTTGACTAGATCGATGGAGCCTAGCTCGGCATAAAGTCACAAACCCCAGCTGAAATTGTAAGAGTTATCAGGGTTACATTTTATCATTCCATTATTTACTCCATCCATTCACAAATGACGCATACAAGTTTTTTTTGTGATGATCAACATATAAGATTTTTGAGGTTATTGAAAATTGATCAGCATATAACCAGTTGGAGTGGTGCCTGTTCATTTATCTATGTGTGGGAGTTAATGTGCATCGGTCTTCACCTTCCCTCTGCGGAAACGAAACAACCACGCATCTCGTTCAATGGGAGATAAAGGTACTCCCTCCATCCCAATATATAAGCATTTTCAGTATAGTGTCAAGTTAAATATTTATAACGTTGACTGTTAATAGCAAATAAATAAAAAAGATCAATCATGTAAATTTGATGTTACTAGATTTATCATTAAACAAACTATCACAATATACTACTCTTTTTATTTAAAACATATTACTTTTATAAATATCGTTGGTTAAAGTAGCATCTCAAAGACCGTGTCAAAGTTTAAAAGTGCTTTTATTTTTTGGATGGAGGTAGTTGATGTCCAGAGCGGCCCTGTTTGGATCCGGAGGGCTATTTAATAGGTCGGAGGATCCAAACAAGGCCTATACGACGATCAAATGTGAAAGGATAAAGTATTTTATTGGACTAAATTAATTGCATTGGTAGTACTCCTAGTATAAATTAATCTGGTCCCTTAGATAAGAAAATATTAACTGTATTAATTTCTACCACAGTAGGGAGCACATTAGAAATCTCAAGTTACGGAAAATGTCGGCTGAAGATGGATGGACCACGAGTATTTTCAAGGGGATCTCAGAACTTTTTTTTTTTTAAGGAATCAGAGAGGGGCATTGGTGGTTTGGACACATGGGTAACGAAAAAAAGGTTTTGGCTCTAGAATGTGAACCCGTTCATGTCAGTTTTCATGTAAAAAATAACAGCTTGTCAGTTTGACTTGCGTGCACACGATCTGCTCAGCAGTTTTGTCACGTTTTCTTCAAAGAAAGAAACATGTTGCTGTGAAAAACTATCTGCAAATTGCACTAACACATTTATCTTTCTAGACCCTCCCAACCATTTTTTTACGATATTCTGGTGCTCTCTGCTGGTAGTATTATGCTATCAGTATTATTAGGGGTAAATTAGTAATTTAATAATACAATGTTTAGGAGTTACATTATCATTTATGTTTTTCCCAGCTAAATCGATATATGATCATCCATTACACTGACATCGCTCATATTTCATTAAAAAAAGCCAAAAAAGATAAAAAGTTTAGTCATAGCTAAATGACGATTATACCCTCCGCATCTATTTTTTCTGTGACAATAATATCCCTCCATATTTCTACTACCGCTAACCGACGAGAATCTGAATACTTCGATCAAATAAGATCAACAGTTAAGATTGATTTTTACCGCTAGTAGTGAGCACCGTAGTGGGACTGTTTTTTTAAGGGAAAGCCATTCGGCTAGATTTTATTGATCTGAAAATATAGTTACATTGTTAACCAATTTGCTCATAATAAAACCAAGGGTTCATCGATCCAGATACATGACATTTTATTATTAAAATCTATACCGGTCAATTCATGAGCTACTTGGTTTTCTTCCCTATTATAATACTATATAGAAACCATACCAGAATCATTCAAAATTAATTTGCATTCTTGATATATTGGAGCTGAAACCGTTGCGAAAAACATCCTCTCTCCCTCCGCGTCCTCGAGTTGCTTCGAGAAAAAACGAAATAGATCAAAACAATCGTGAAAGATAAAAAAACCCTCTGGCGAGCCACCAGAGGAAAAAAAGGGAACCCTAGAAAACCCTAGGGGACCCTCCCAACCATTTTTATCTTAAGCATATATGGCCTTGCCTATTTTTAATCACTTAAAGGTAAATTCTCATATTATACCCTTAAAAAAAACTCACCTTATCCCTTATTGGGATGGGGACATGTTCAACCGTAGATGTTTTTTTCATGGGCCTCAAGTTCGACTCATGCTTATGCTTATTTTGACTGCACCTTTCAAGTTCGACTCAGCCCTAGTGAATTCCACATGGAATTCTGATAGCTCAGCTGTTTATGGTGTTTCACCAAGATCAAGAAAAAGTTTTCAAGTACAATTCTATCAGAAAGGTGCCCTCCATACTGAGAAACTAGAGTGCATGCATGCTTGGACAAAAAAGTGGATATATACTTGACTAAGCACATTCAGGTTGTGTTTGGATTCAACGGATGTGAACTAATCCCTCCCGCACGGAAAACGGAGTGGTCCATTAGCGTGTGATTAATTAAGTATTAGTTAATTTTTTTTAAAAAGGATTAATTTGATTTTTTAAGCAACTTTGGTATAGAAACTTTTTGCAAAAAACACACCGTTTAGTAGTTTGAAAAGCGTGTGCGTGGAAAACGAGGGAGAGGGGTTGGAAACATGGGGTTGCAAACACAGCCTCAATCTTTTCTAAACTCGATCTATATGAGATTTGGATGCATTCTCTGTTTGCCTCCATTCTTAATTTGAACGATGTCATTGATTAGTTAATTTATTTCGAACACATAGAAGATCGACGTATCATTTCATTAATAATAATAATAATAATAATAATAATAATAATAATAATAATAATAATAATAATAATAATAATAGTAAATAAATAAAACATACCCATGAGGGGAATTCAGAAACTCCCCAGCCTAAACACTAACACACGTTACAAAAACTAAAAGACACTAAACAAGACAGGGGCGGACACATTCTGGGGCATGGGGTACAATTGTACCCCTAATTTTATTTTTTTTTTGGCCAACAATCAACTACATATATGTCTATTTGCCATGCATATCAATCCAAGTATCAGTTAGAACTTGAAAAATATCAATCTATGTAACAATCCACAAACCCATCTACCTTTCAAATCCCTAGCTTCTCAGTGAATGAAGCACCACTGCACAATCTTCGTCGCAGCAGCGTGAGGTACCCCTCCATAAATAAAAAAAAGAAGACCAATTCTACCTACAAACCAAGAATTCATTTTTGTTTTTACAGAAGAGAGAACACCACCTTCTTGGCTGCTCTGCTACCTCGAGCCGATGGGCCCTCCAGTGCCCCAACACAGGCACTGTCACACCATCCATTCCACCCCTCCCCAACAGTTCCGCCGTCCACGGCCACACTGTTCACTCCCACTCTCCCCAAGGCTTCAGTTGATTGTTGATTGCTTTTTTCTATTTTTTTTTTGAAAAATAATGAATTGAGCAGGTCATTGATTTATGGCACCCATATGAATTTGTGATTTTAGGTTATAGAGCCTTCAAAGAAGAAGAAGTTTTTTGGGTTTGAATACATGTGGAGCAGAAATGAATAGAAACAGAAATATATATATATATATATGTATATATATATGTATATGTATATGTATATATATATGTATATGTATATGTATATGTATATGTATATGTATATATATATGTATATGTATATATATGTATATATATATGTATATGTATATATATGTATATATATATGTATATGTATATATATATAAAAATCTACTCACTTCTGAATGGGGAGAATTTACTTTTTGCCATCCTCTCAAAATGCCAGATCTCAAATGCCACTCTCCCAAAATTTCCTTTCCAAATACCACCTGGGCCCACATGTCATACTCTTTTCCCATTCAAACAAAAGTAATGTAAGCATTTCCTGAACAAGTTTTTTTTTCCTGCAAGTATGCATCTATATCCGAGAACCTGGAATTATTGATTCCTTGATTGAAATTCATTTTCTTTATGTAGGTTATATAGTACATGTTGCCCATAGATGACACGTGGGTCCACATGTATCTATGACATGTGAGTCCAGTGACAAAAAGTTAATTGCCACATCTAAATGTGGCAAATGGTTAAATATCTCTAGATAATATGCTGTACCGGCCGTCTCCTCAGCATGATCACAAAAAGGGCAAAGAAGCTGCAGGGTGTGGCGAGCATCGCTTGTATAGGCCATCGGCCGTCCAACATCGATTTTTTACCGTGAGCCACACAGAAAATTTACACTTCAGGGGTGCCCAACTTTTCCAAATCCTCTTGACCTCTTCCATGGAGCAAATATGATAGTCCCAACAAAAAGAGCCACAAATGCTGATTTGCGACAGCATAAACCGGATCCTGATAATCTGCAAACGGTGCTGATCCGCTGTATCATGTTGCAAATTTACTCCAAGCGCACTAAATCCCAGATCAGATGATACTCTCTAATCACCTGCACAGCGAGAGCTCCTTTTATATCTGTGATCATGTTTGATCCATTAGTTAATTGACAGTAATTATGTGTATAACTTGTGTTATCTATGTAACTTAAGTATGTGGAGTTTATATATATATAGGTTCGGGCCCTCCTCAGGGTACATCCTGTATGTTGTACGTTTGTATATAATTGTATGGCATCCTGTATGTTTGTATATAGGGAGGGTACAACATTTTTTTTTCTAGATAATGGAATATAAATTCCGACCTTTACTTCAAATAAGCTACAACTACTTATTTTAAAAAAAAACTCTCAAAGAGAGCCAATAGTCAGGCAACAATAAGAATAGAATAATAAAACCAGCACATGAGGAGAAAACAATTATTGAAGTATATTTGTGAATCTCCATCCGTAGTTGGTGAAAATATGCATGACCGTAACTTCTAAGCTTCGACATGCAGTATGTATGAGCTCATTGTTCTCTTCACACTTTTGAAACTGTGCCTAGAAGCAGAGCCAATGCATATAAGATTTATTTGGAGATTTGTCAAAAACTATCTCATTCCTATTCAACCAAAGAGCCCAACAAAAAGCAGATGCTCCAACAAATATGAGATTTTAAATTTTTGAGTCAACAACACCAAGCCAATTTTCAACTACATTAGAAATACTATTAGGAGGTTTCAGTCCAAAGGAAAAATAAGCTATTCTCCAAAGAAATTTTGCAATATGGCAATCAAAGAACAACATATATAAGTTGGACTAATCTAGAGCTACTCAACAATCTCAGGGTGACTTGTGGGGTTTCAACGGGTCTAGGTATGGTCTTCAGATCCGTGGCACTAGTCCATCTAGAAAGTCTTACCCCCTTGGAGGTCCCGGGCCCCATGTATTTATTCAAATGGATTTTTAATAGTTGCCTAAATAGGAATGCCCAAATAGGATTGACCTGTATTAACCCTGGTCTTCTGGATTTGATGCCCATCTCACACTTGGGCTGATATCTTGAGACTAAGATATATGTATCTAGATATGAACCAAACATAAAAAAGAAATTTCTCATATGATAATCTATTTCTATGCTTGATATTAGGCATGTTCAAAGTACAAACTCAACCCAATACAGGCTGATTTGGTTGTCCACTGGGCTAGGCTTGCACCCACATTTTGCAGCTTGGAAGCTTGAAATTTTTTTAAAAAGCCTAGGGTTTGGGCCAAAATTGGGCTTGCTTTTTAGGGCGGCATCATGCTTAGGCCTGAATTTTTGGCTTGCATTTTTTTAGGCCAGGCCCGAGGTTTGAACACACTTATTAGAGACATATCCCCTATTTATTACACCAACAAATAGATATGGAGAAATTAATGCATAGATCATCAAGATATGGATGTATGTTGAAAATTCATAAATGAAGTTATGTGAGATGTGGTGCATTAAATCCATCATATCTTCTTGGAACATTAATGTTTTATATAAAACATTTAGATGTGTTACACTTGAAAGATATAAATGTTTTATATCTTGGCCATCTCATTTAATTCATATGGTATAATCTCATAAAAGACCTTGGATTGGTATATATTTATTTTTCAAGACCCTTGTTTGGAGGTAGCACTAAAAGCCTTTCTCAGGACACAGAAGCAATATTTCTTTTTTTTTAAGTTAAAGTGTGGAAATAATATTGAAACTCCAGGACAGTTGTTCATGGTTCAATCAGGAAAAGTCATCACTAATTTTTGTTTGGAGCAATAATTTGAGCATTGTGGTAAGTCGCAACTTGGTGGCTTATATGGAGTAAAGAGATAGCGTTACAGAATTTCATTTCAAATTTGGAGTAATAATTAGAGCATTGTGGTAAATCATAACTTGATGGCTTACATGGTGTAAGCTAAGAATTAGAGATAGCGTTACAAACTTTCATTTCAAATTTAACATTTTCAAAACAGCACAAAATGCCTTTGGGTAACATAAGATGAAAAAAAAATGTGCTTACATTACATATATAGCGTGAGAGGATCACTATTTTAGAAATATGCCTTCCAACCATCATGGTTCACTTGAACAACACTCAAAGTAAAAATATACTTTAGATTTCTTACTGTGTAAATTTACAACAAAGATTGTAATAGTCTCAATGGCAACATTGCCAACTCATTTGTTTCCATTAGGAACATGTCATAGATTGGAAGTTTACCCATTAGGAACTATACTCTGGTTTGAATACATTTTAATGTCACATTTTTTGCCTGTGATAATGAAATAGTACTCCTACAATAGTAAGGATGTCGTACTCCTACAACCAAAGCATGTATAATGCTTTATTTTCCTTAATAAATCACTGATTTCATTTTAGGTTTCTCTTTACATACGACACTCCATATACACTGTAGTGACCATATAAGTTAAAGAATAACTATATTGGAATCATATTAACAAACAATATTTTTATATATGGAAAATATCGTGTGGTACTTTCCCAATTGTTCTGCTATCCCTGTTTTATGGCATTTTTTTTAAACACAAAACATGCATCACACAGAATATTAACATTTATATATTTAGTCCCGTAAGTTCTTTTGAAATTATACATATAATTGCTAGCAGGGGTGGTTGTATAAATATTTATATGTTATGGCGTTTATGAATATAAACGGTGTGAAGTTTGCTCTGCTTTTATTGAATGCAATATAATAATGATATCACGACAAAAACTTATAGCGGAAACCGTGTGCAGGAACCCCATTTTGTGCTATAAATAGACTCCACCGCTTCCAAGGGCTTCACACCAAAAAATAGAACCATAGCAAGTAGAATCCATAGCTTTGAGAAACTCATGGCTCAAAGGGTAGGACACTCTGCTGATGGGGTTTTTGTCATGATCGTTGATGAAGATAAGTCACATGCCAACTTCGCAAGAGGCATGCTCTCCAGCCTCAATTTTCATGGTAAGTTAGTTCAATTCCTGTATATAATCCATGTAAGGGAGACATTACAGTGGCGGATTTACCGCCCGCTCGGTGTTGTCACCAAAATCTCCAATGATTTTTTATGTTTTCGAATAATTTAATACAACTTTTCTTTAATCGGTTGATACTAAGTGTAGTTAGATTTGCTTGGGCTCTGAAAGTTATTTGGATATGTCTCAGGGAAACATACATATGAAAACATTTCTTCAGCTAAATTATTGGTACATGATTTGTCACTTCCAGATCATAAAGTGTCAACATCTGGAGTGACAAATCCTTGTTTTTTCATTTGGGGTACCAACAGTACTACTTTTGTGATATATTGATTTTGGCCTATATGTTACCATGTTACCGATCTCAGCTTTGAAGTATATGACATCAGAAAATGTTTCTATAAAGTCCTGAAAAGATACTGCATTCCAAATGGTTCTTAAAAGGTATTGTTGCTTTTCAGTGATAGTGTACTCAAGTCCTGTGAATGCACTCGTTTTTCTGGAGAATAACGCACAAGACGTCGCTGTAGTCTTGGCAGCAGTGGACATGAAACAATTGAGTGGTTTTCAGTTCCTCGAAGCTGCAAGAGTGAAACGCCAGGACCTTCAAGTTATCAGTAAGTAGGCTGATTCTGTTCTAATTCAACCCCATTATTTTTCTGTGATGCATCTGGAGAGACAAAATGATTTATTGGGAATTGGTTTTCGATAATCTTGCTTTATTTGTATCAGTGATGTCAGCTGAGACAACAATGTCCACAATGATGAGGTGTGTTAAACTCGGTGCACGTTTTCTAGTGAAGAAGCCTCTTAACGAAGAAACTGTAGGTAATCTGTGGCAGCATGTTGACCTGAAAGTTTTGAAGATGGAGAAGATCAGGGAATTACTGCAAGGTTGGAAATAGTTTTTGCAATAATTAATATTATTTTTAGTAGTTGGTATAATTAACCCCAATAATAATCCAGCCATCTATCTCACATTGTTTATTGAAGCTCGTGCTGCAGCTGGGTATAAATCAATATCCTGCTTTTCTTATGTCTCCTTCACATAAGCACAATTCTAACTTGACAATTTGTACAATACACTTATGTCACCTTATTGTACTCGCTCTTAGATATAAAATGACTTCATTAATTAGTATCCTGGTAGCAGATGACTGTTATGAGCAAGTATATTGAATGTCTTTCATTAGGATGATGCGTGCATTAGTTGGGGTATTCCTAATGCTATGCCTCACCTAGTATGCATGTGTAATATATAAAGTGACATTGCTTGTGAATTAATGAAGCAATAGATGACATGTGCAAAGTAAAAGAAAACAATAGAGTAGAGAGGAGTAATGGTCTTGAAAATTTTGCTATGAGTTAGACAAATAAAACCTATCCATTGAGATGCACATTTTGCTGACACAAATTTCTTGTTCTTTCCTGCTAGACTAGTTATAGACCCGTGTGTCGCAATGGTTCGGTTTCTTTAGTTTGGTGAAAGGATTTGATTGGTTTTTATACCATGGTTGATTGTTTTGAGACATCGGTTTTTACGGGAGGGTAACAGTATTTAGGAGAAAGTGGTGGAGGGCAACAAAAGGAGGACGACTCTCTCTTTTAATCAGTAGAGAAACAACTGTAACTTTACATTGGAAGTGTCCACATGGATCTAAAATAGGGCAAGTAATATAATAGAGTTACCGCTACTCAAGATAGATGTGCAAACAGAGAATGTGTAGCTATACTCATAAGCAAAACACTAGGAAGATACCTTTTCCACTGAAAGATATACTGACCAAAGCTTCAAGAAAGTGCCACTGTTGTTTCCATCTTCTATTTACAATGTGTCTCACAGCTAGTATCTTAGGTTGAATTTATCAAAACTATTTGATTGCTATATTTATGTGAAAGTTAGCTTGATTCAGCTTCATATGTTGTACAATGCAGATCCTGGACAAGAGACGGTGATAACTATTAGTTATGAAGAGCAATTCTCTGGAGAAACTGAAGCAGATGAAAATAATGAAGAGGAGGAAGTGAATTCCTTTGAAGCTAAGAAGGCTGATTCAGTTAAAGTTCAATCAGATGAGAAGGGACATGACAATGCTAAAATCTCTAACACTGCTGCTGCTGAAGGGTCTGATGAAAAAGTCTCTAGTGGTGATGGTCATGTAGTGCCTAAAGCGTATAATAATGTGAATGTTGAAGAGAGCATAGGTAGTAACAATACTTCAGGTGAACAAGTCTCCGACAAGATCAAGAGTGATGCAAGAGTTGGGGTGATCCTTGTGGACTACCCAGATTTTGAGGATGATGAGACCAAGAAACCCACAAGCACTTAGATATAATCCGGTCTCGACTCGACTCTGTGTAGAGATCGAGTGAGCTGAGAATGTGGGGGGAACAAGTGACTGAAAGAATGCACTACCATATATGTTTATGGTAGTGTTTGTATCTTACTTTCTGCAAAATAAGAAATGCACCATGTGCTGAATATCTGGAACTATTAGCATTCTGAACCGCGATATTGTGCAAAATTTGTAGAACTATTGAGCATACAAGAAACTGCAGGTGAAAAAGGAAAAAACACAATGTTGCATAAGTATTCTAAAACATGACATCACAATGCTTTACCAATTAAAATATACAAAAGAAAGTGTACGGTATGTAATAAGCTTACTTCTAAAGTTAGAAATTATAAGATTTTGAAACAATATGTGAAGTTCCCATCAATCTTTGTGATGGTGATATCTAGGAGCTCCTACCTCAACTCTATCTAGTGACTTCAATATTCTAGTGGTGCTCTTGATACAACAACACTAGTACACTACCAGTCCAAGCAGAAGCTCCACCTTTGCTCAAAAAAAAAAAAACTTAGACTCCATTGGAGGTATACATGCAACCGAGGATAAATGTCGTGCTGCCCTTACATCATTTTGGCCCTGCCAAGTACGCTAGCCATTAGCCCTGGTTTCAAGCTTGTAAAACCCTATTGAGCTCTGTATTCATTGTCAATTAATAGTATATGATTTTCAAGAAAAAGTATACAAACAATCATGGAAAATTATGAAATAACGTAATGATGCATATACCAATACCAAGGATATTGTAATATACTACGCTAGTAGTATAGGCTCATGTGGCACGTAAACACATATGGTAGTGCTGAATAACTAGAACTATTAGCATTCTGAATTGTGATATTATGAGAAACTTATAGAACTATTGAGCATACAAGAACCTACTAGTAGAAGGAAAAACACAAAGTTGCATACAAACATTCTAAAACATGACATCATAATGTTTTACAAATTAAAATATCCAAAGCAAAGTATTCATCATGTAATAGGTTTTCTTATGACCTTTCATCTATCTTTGTATGTTCGAAATAGATTTGGCATAGACAAGAGTCGGAGCGGGAGCTCCTCTAGTGGGGAGGAGTGGCACATGCCCTTTGGGATTCGGCAGGGGAGTGGGTGCACGGAAACGAGGCGATTGGCGTCGCATGTATGAACGAGGGATACAAGAGATGATGGTTTAGATAGGTTTGGGCCGCTCAGAAGCGTAACATCATACTCATGTGTTCTTAGCTAGATGATAATGATTAAGTTTACAATGTGGGTGTTGAGTTGAGTGGATGTTGTTCTAGGTGGGAGAGGATGAACCCTTCTTCATAGTATTGTGGCTAGATCCTAACTTCCTTTCTCCTTTTTCCTTTTCACTTTTTCACCCTATGGCCTTGGTCCTCCTTTTGTAGTTGCAATGGGATACCGCTTTTGTAGTTGCAATGGGATACCGCAGTGGCCCATTTCTTACAAATGGGCCCTAGTACAGGGGTTATGTGTGTTTAGTCTTGTTGCTTCTTGATGAGTGGGTCTGGCCATCAGAACGCGTGCTTACTGTCAGAAGAAAGTGCAAGATAGCTATGGACCGGACACGTGGCATGGCAGTCAACCGTGCTACCTGACAGCCCATGCCTTTCCACATAGGGGTGATGAAGGCTTGTTGCAGGGTTGGAGTGTGCTGTCTTGTCGTGTGTTGTCCCAGTCACATGCCGGGTTGATATACTTCACCCCGTATTGAATGTGAGGCCTAGTGGGCTTCATGCATTGCTGCTCCCCGAGCACTCGGGGCCCGAGCGTGGGGGTAGATGTGCCTCAAGCACAGCGCATAGAGTGTTGTGCTTCGGGGGCAGCGTATAGATGTACCTCGAGCACCACGTGCTCTGGGGATGTGATGTAGATGTACACCAATCACAACCGATGTGGGGCCATGCTCTGGGAATAGGATGTAAATGTACCCGAGCACAGCCCACGAGGGCTGTGCTTCGGGGGTTGACGGTAAATGTGTCTCGAGCACTACCCAAAGCAAAGCCCATGGGGGCTGTGCTTCGGGGGCAGCCTGTAGATGTGCCTTGAGCATCCACGAGGGGCTGTGCTTCGAGGGTTGGTGACTGATGCCCCCGGAGCACAGTGCATGGGGGGCCACACCCGAGGCTCTTGGAGCCACTACTAGAAAAATAATTTATCGCCACAAAAAAATCGTAGCATTAATGCTAAAATTGTGGCAATAGATACATGTTGCCACAATCTTAAAATCGTTGCTAGCCGTGGTAATAAATAGCGTGGTAATAGGTTATTGCAACGATTTTTATTTAGTTGTAATAAAATTTGATATTGCCATAAATGGATGTGTCAAAAAAATATATATTGCAACACTTTACATCGTTGCAATAAATAACTATTGCCACCACTCCATGTGTGGCATTAGTTCTATGTACCAAATTAAATGTTTCAATATTAATTTATCATCCTAACTATTTTCTTTTGATATCTTGTCATGCCAGGATTCGAACCCAAGATCTCTCCCTCTCGCGCGCTCTCCATGACCAACTCACCTACGCATCATTTTTGTTTAAAAATGCATACAATTCCATTTGAGACTGCCTAACTGAGATTTGAATCATGAATTTGAGTATTTAAAAGGTTTCAAATGAAATATTTAACTTGTAGATCTCATCGAGAGCTATAAATTTCATATAAAATTTGTCCTAATCTTTGTATGCCCCGTACTCAGGGTTTCACGAGTGCATTGTCACGATGTCACCCTGTCATCAACTTGACAACACAAAACCATGGACCCTCTGCTGTCTCAGACAGAGTTTCCTAAGCAAAGACAAAGTGTCACACTTTGCATCATGAGTCTTTCACAATCGTATCTATCTTGCAAATTTTGCTGACACCAAGTGTCAGTTCTCCCTAAGAGATCTAAAACTTGCTTTGTCCTTTTATCAACAAACAATAGAGGTTATGGGAGAAGAGCCTTTTGAACTCATGCTTGAGGAGCATGGTTGCGGAGGTACCATAAAAGGTGGAGCGATAAAGGTATATGGGATTTCAAAATCACATGGGTATTATGCAACTAATAGGTAGGACCATCAGTTCGTCACATGAACCGAGGCTGGTCAAATTTAATGTGCATACTAAAATAGAGTTTTGCAAACAAAACATATATAAATTAGGGGCAATATGATCAAAGGGTGACTTTCATCAGGTATTTGTCTTCAAAGTCTTCGAAAATCCTCGTCCGAAATAATTTTCGTCATCGTTGACTACGCCAAAAGAGGAGAGAAGTGCACAACACCCCAAAAATAAATTACTATTATTAATGACTAATAGTGCCATAGTGTAGATCTTAATTTTAGAAAAGTTTGGAGACTTGAACGGGATCAATTGGAGTAACGACTGAGGATATATGGATTTTTGAAGCTTTCATGGATTTTCGGAAAAAAAGTTTTATTTGATGAAGAAAAATAATATTCTCAGCATTATTTCTTTTCTGACAGGTTCGATATGGTGTCAGTGGGTCAACAATCAACCCACTGAGGAATGAGGACCACAGCCTACTGGGCCGTGAACCACAAACCAGCAATCAACGGTAGATAGTGTGCAGCACCTTGTGATGATTGCTGGCGGCTCATCATCACTGGCAGCCTCTGGCACAATGAGTGAGGGATGAAGAATGTGGTGAATGGCTTTGATTGGGTAATGGGAAAGCGGCGGCGTGGAACCAAGTGCGATTGCCAGGCTATGCGTCGTATGGTCCCCGGCGGTGATGGAGCACGGCCGTGGCTTTGCTCAAAGCTAGCAATCATTTCTAGGGAAATTCGGGGACAGTTAGAAAGGGGCTAGGGCTCACCAGAACTGAGAAATTTTGGAGGCAAATTTGAAGAGCTCAGGCTTAGCCAACACAACAAGAGTGGCAAGACGACCCAGATGCACGGGGGAAACAAGAAGGGAAAGGCAATGGATTTATAGGAGCGGGGCATCGCAAAGCAACAATAGAGAGAGCCGTTGGCTACAGGAAAGTGGTGGCGAGATTTTTTTTTTTTGCCTATCCGCGACGAGATTTTTCTTGCTGAACATGGAAGCAAAACAGACCCGCGCGGAATGAAGGTATATCGGCGATGGCTTGGTCGGTGGGTCAGATGGTGAGGAGGAGAGGAAGGCTAGGACTCGGCTAGCGATGGGACAACTTGGTGGCAGAGCGACGTTATTCACTTGCACATTTGATCGAGCATGTGGTTGACGTGGAGAGGGAAGATCGGAAGTAGGGGGATGAGAGGACGCAGGCGGGCGTTTGAGCGAGTGCTGCGAAGCTGGTGGCTAGAGAGCGGGCCTGTAGTGAGGGAGAGATGGGCGGCCGGTCACGCATGCGTTGTTTGGCCAAACACAGCGTGTGGGCTAGCCCACTTGGGCCATGGGCTTTTGTGGCTGCAAGCGGAGAAGAGGAAAAGATGACGTTGAATATTTCTCAGGATTTAAAACAGAGGGAGTTTGGCTGGGACGTTGAATATTTCTGAATATGATTTGAATTTTAAAATTCATGACTCAGGATTTGGGATGGAATTTTCGGATCGCGGTTTTGGGGTTTCAGGGATGGATCTAATTTAGATATTTGGCACTTAAGTCCTTCATTCACACATAAAGAACCAAAATTTTGAAAACAGTGTTTTTATTAAACATTTTTTAATGTCTCAAAAATCGGGGCGTTACAATTGGCCCTTATTGTCCATGATGTGGTGCTAGTAAGATTTAGGGCCAAAGGATATGGAGACTATACCCGGATGCCCCTTAGCATTTCTCATTAGCAAGTAATAATGTATATTAGTTTGGCCCATGTATGTATTCTGGTGTAGGACCATGTGGCCTATGTGTTGTTGTGTGATTGGATTAGTCCCATGTAGAGAGTTTAAATAGGTTAGGGCTAGCTTATAAATCCTTGTGCTCTAACCATAGTAATTTTGGTTCATCTTTTTATATGTGTCAGTGTTACGGATTAGGTACACTTCTTATACTTAGATTCATAACCACCAGGAATACCTATTATATTGAAAGATATATGCAAATATGAGAATATAGTAGATAGGGACGAAAATTCCTTCCACGTGAATAGGAGATGTCGAAGTACGACCTAGGGAAGGCAAGGTCTTATATTCCTGTATCCTACAAGGGCTCTCCGAGTTCTACTTGGAGAGGAAGTTGCCTACCTGTATAAATACAAAGCCCCCGGGAGGGGAGGGCATCGAATCACAAGCCATAGTCATGAGTCACATTGAGAGACAGCTAGGAGGAAGTCGATCGCTACCCGCTGACCCCAAGTCATTGGATTAGATCTCGGTGGATACTAGTCGACGGGTTAGATTAGCTAACTTGCTCCCCCATTGTAGTCAGTGTGATACATCCTAGAGCTATACATATAAACTGGAGTAGGGTTATAACTCAACTTGAGGGTTCGAATCAGTATAAAAATCCATGTCTCCTGTCTACTTTTCCGCAATCTCGCATATACCTTAGTATCAATGTCCCGTACTATACAAATACCATTGTTGGGTATAGCCTATCAACAGTGTGAAGATGATAGTATAAATTTAGTGCTATACATACATGGGCCTGTTCCTTGGAAGAGCTAGACTACTATGGATTTTTGGGCCAGGATGTTATAGATACCAGTGAGAGGTCAAAGTTCAACATAACAGAAGGATAGTATCATTTATGGCAACAACCAGGGACGTTTGGTTGGTCGATGTGCATGGTGGTGGTTGGTTGATATGCACGGTGGTGGTTGGCCGGTGATATTACATACATGTAGCGTATATATGTGCACTTTTTTAGAGGGTGCAATCCAAACTTTCTATTTCACTTTTGTCTTTGTGTAATAGATGCAATATATAGCTTATTTATGGGTAGGTGGGATAACTCCAAAGTACACTGACCCCAAAGAGATATGCACTGCGGAATTGATGGCCCATTTCTTTTATTCTTTATTGTTACATACCACCATACCTTTTTTTGACTGAAAATGTCATCATATCTTGCATATGTATGTAGCTGAAGTCAAAGGTCTTCTCCATTAGCCTAGGCTCAACCGGTAGAATTTCAAAAAACACCCTTACAATTATTGTATTTTGTTTAAAAACCTTTCTTCCCATGTACAGTCATATTATTTTATACTGTACCATTAATGGGTTATTGATTTTTAACCCCTTCTTATGTTCAGGCTTTCCACCAAGAATGATTACAGAGTTGAGTAAAGAAGAAAAGGGGAGATTGAGGTGAGCTGGTTTTTTTTAATCCTTTTGATTATATCTTTTTGTCATGCAAAATAATTATCTATGTTGATATTGGTTAAGTAACTAGACCTTTCCAGCATACCAAATCATATGTAATTAGTAAAACTTTCTTTTCCCCACTTGTTGCGACCATATTCTCTTTTTCGCCGTCAACAATTTGCACTTCTCTCTTTTACCTTTACTGTGTTTTTATTTTTGTTTTGCCATCCCCTCTAGTCAGCGAAAATTGCCTGGTAAGTTTATCCCTAAAAGACCATTATGCCCTTGTAGCCAAAACAAAATGACACTAAAAAATTTAGCAAATATCATATTTTCCATTTGAATAGTTCATTAAGCACAAGTAGAACTCTTTCGATTTTTTGTAATAATTTTGTAGTTACATAAGGGAATAATTGTCATTAGCTTTCACGCTCAAGCAGCTTAATAGGAATGTATATTTTGCATGATGATAAACTAATTGCAGCACGTTACAACACATATATTACCTCTATCCCATAATATAAAGAATTTTATCCATGTAATAACTATATCCAGGGATGGTGCCAATGTCCAAAATAACATATAGGGCCACAAGCGGCATAGTGCTGCACTTAACCAGGGGGGTTACAATTTTGGATCTGAATTTCCAAAATTTCAAGTTACAGGTGGATCCAGTACAAGGTTCTCCCAGCCAAAATTTTCATTTTTTTTTAGATTTAGCAAATAATTATTTAAATTTATAAAAAATTCACCAAATTCTTCAAGTTATTCATTAGAAATTTGTGGAATTTTGGCCACCCTGAAATAGTTATGCATTCCAAAATAGTGAACCCTGCACGCAAGCAGTTGGCTTTTATAGTCACTAGCTTGTAGCCGCAATTCGTAAATCAGATGATCGGTGCTGCAGCCATCATTGAAGCCTGTGCAACGTTGAACTTCGTATGCAGTTTTAATTGTGACTCAAACAAAGAATTGTTTTTGCTGCTATGTTTTCGTCATGCTAATGAGTGAGAGTTGCGACAATGATCTGAAAAAATGTAGATAAACATTATTTGGTAGTCCACACTATGGTAATTAGGGCTGTCAAAAAAGCTCGAGGCTCGCGAGCAGCTCGAGCTTGGCTCGTCCTAGGCTCGATTCGAGCTCGGCTCGAGCTTCAAACGAGCCGAACCCGAGCCTGAGCAAAAGCTCGCGAGCTTTACCGAGCCGAGCTCGAGCTTTTGCCGAGCCTGGCCGAGCTTGACTATTTATAGTTCATATTGCATGTTCACCTTATTAATATAATAAACTAATAGGTAAATATATATATTAGTATCTATTTACACAATAAATTAGCATGTGTTAGCATAATATATTTATTTTAATTATTTTCTACTCTTTTATTAGTGTGATTAACTAAAAAATAATTATACTTATCAAAAGATTATCATTAAAATATATATTATACTACTTATGACCGAGCTCGGTAGCCGAGCTCGAGCTCGAACGAGCTCGAACCGAGCTTGCCTAAAAGCTCGAAGGTAGAATAGGCTCGGCTCGAGCTCGGCTCGAGCTTGTGTCGAGCTCGAGCTTGGGCAGACGAGCTCGCTCGAGCTCGGCTCGTTGACAGCCCTAATGGTAATGACACAGATCAAAGCCGGTAATGGCAATGATAGTGCAGGTCAGGAATGGAGGCAGTTATGGCCAGTCATGCTTTCTGCACCAATTATTCCATTTTCGTACTGGTCCTCATCCTACTCAAGCTAATTGTAATCCACAAACTAGTCCATCCAAGTAACCCGCAGTCGTAGACAAATTTTGAAATTTTAAGCTAGAGTGGATTTTAGGTTGTTGTTGTAGTTTATTTTCCAGCCTTAACTTTTTAATCCTTCTGTTCCCTCAATTTATTTGAAAGTTTGTGACCAATTTATTCTTGGCAATTATTAGGAAATGGAATTAAGAAAATAAATTGAGGGGGGGGGGGGCGAAGTGATGAGCCAAAATAGAAGTATCCAGAGTAGGGCAATGTTGGAATTTTACTAATGGAAGTGTAGTGGTGGCAGGCATTTTGAAACAAATGATTTGGTCAAATTTAATAGTTATTCAGGACCGTGTGAGTAAACTACTAATAACACACATATAAAAGTTCTATTCATAGATTAGTTTTGATTATTTCATTTATTTTTGTATGACTTATTAGCCGTAGCTAAACCAATCAGACAATTAAACTAGGCCTCCATCATGCCTTAGTATCTTTGACGATGCACAAGTCTCCAACCAGTGCAAATAACAAGGATTTACCTGCGTTTGCATGCACAATATAATGGCTGTTGTGGCTGCCATGACATAGTTTATTTAAGATATCTCCAAGAGCACACATCAGTTTGACAAAGATGCTATGGATGGATATCAAAGTTTCTAATACTTTATATCTCTGCGCACATTTCCTTAAAAAAATAATATATATTGCTGAGCACATCGCAATATCCTACTGCATGCATCATCGAGATACATATCTAGAGTCAAAACTATTTGGCTAGGTCCAATTGGTAGAATTTCAGAAAGGACCTTGGTTGCCCCTCTATCTTGCGCAGAAACCTTTCTTTGGCAAGTTATTCTTGACACTAAAATATATACACTAGTTAGTGCTGCACCTTGCGTTGACATTCTACTGTATATGTTATCAATGTTAAGGACATGATTTTTTTATGAAAAGAATGGGATTATTGGTACAGAAAGCATAGAGAAAATTTGTGTGATTATGGTGTCATCATAACTGTGTGAATACATTACGTCACTATAGTGTGACGTTCTGATTGTGTGATCTATATGTGTCAAAGGAATAAGATAACACACATTGGAAGTTCCATCAATGGTGGCCATCTAACTAATCGGAATTGTTACATCACTATAGTGTGTCACTCCCACGATCCAACTTTTGCCTTATTCGTACAATGTGGGTTCCTCCACTGTGTCTTGTTGGTCATAATCCAACTAGAGAGCATCCTGCTTATGATACACATGCATATTCTTCGTGTATATTGATAATATCATCTAGTAGTTGGTACATATTATGTTCTCTAACTATATATGTTCATATGGAAAATATTATTGGATTTTATCACATTACATGTATCACCATGATAAATTTAAGCAAAACTAATATAAATTAGTTATTTATATCCTTTCAAAATTTATATTTATACAATATGGACCTATTTAGAAATTATCATATGCAATGGCCCTTGATGAATAGCAGTAACAAAACATATACCAAAAACAACATACATCAAACCTTGTTGCACTATAAATAGCCTCTAGTGCTTTCATGCTTCACAAAGAACATAACTAGCGGAATGCTATTCTCGAGGAACTTATGGCCCAAAAGGAAGGACTCCCTGCTGGTAGGCTTAGTGCCATGGTAATTGATGAAGATAAATGCCATGCTGATTCTACAAGCTACATGCTTTCTGCAGAACTCAACTTTTCTGGTAAGTCCCTTCAATTCTGATCCTCCAGCTATGTTGAAATAAAGGTTGTGTTTTTGTCAAGGACTAGCTATCTGCATGTGTTGTAACCTTTGGCTTGATTGTTAAGTCGCATGTTAAAAGGTTGCAAACAAGTTATATATATCAGCTATAGTACTTATGAAGCAATGACAAAAGCTGTAGTGGATGTTATTCATGAACTTGTCTATATTACGTGCAAAAAAAGGCTCAATGAAAACTTTGGGCGGAATGTGTTCCAAGTATGCATACTGACATTAATTCTATGTGTATATTCTTCAAACACTGATTTTAACTTTTCATTTGGTTGGCATCCAAACATTGTAAACCTTATTTTTTAAGTTGGAATAGGCACTGAGATTCTTTTTTGGTTTTTCAGTCACTGTATTTACAAGCCCCATAAAAGCACTAGACTTTCTTCAGAATCATGCAGAAGGTGTTGATTTGGTGCTGGCAGATGTCCACATGGAAGAGATGAATGGTTTTGATTTCCTTAAAGTTGCAAGAGAGCTTCATAAATCCATTCAAGTGATTAGTAAGTAGGCATGCTAATTATTCTTTCTGGAGACTTTAAAGCTCATCTGTAGACCTCCGATTCTTGAATGTCCAGGCATCATGTTTATTAGTTTGATTGATCTACTAAAATATTTATCTGAGTTATTATGCTAATAAATATATCTTTTCAATTAGTGATATCAGCTGAAACGATAAAAATATCTCTTTTCAATTAGTGATGTCAACTGAAACGACAATGTACACAATGAAGAGGTGCGTCAAACTTGGAGCTCAATTTTTGGTCAATAAGCCCCTTGATGCTGGAACCATTAAGAATTTGTGGCAATATGTTGACTTGAAAGTTCTAAGAATGGAGAAGATCAAGGACTTGCTTCAAGGTGGTGTTGTTATAATTTATCAGTTTATTTTACAACTGAAAAAAATATAGCAGTCTTATATCAGCTTGGGTATAGTTTATCACATTTGTGTTTAGATAATTTTATAATTGTCTTATTTTGACTGCAAATATGTTTATTATCTTTTGATAATTTCTCCAGCAATATTTTATAATTAAGAGCATATTTTAGGAAATATTGTTTTATAATTATATAGTTTTTTTTACTACTGCATTGTTTTAGTTTATTTCGGATAGTCAAAGTTGCATTACTGCTATGCTGTGAAGTGTGAAGTATACAAGTTAAAATAAATAGTATCAACTAAAAATAAACTCTATATATGTAGAGTTGGCATAGAGACATATGCACACTTATTCAAGAACCTTTGTAGTGAGAAATAGTGATGGAAGAAAGGCTTTCTAATTTCATTTCAAAAAGTAAAAACAAAAACTTATTAATTTGAAATTTTTTATGTATAGTACCATAATAAAAGCAATATACTTTTTCATACCTTTTTCACAAAAGAACAGACAAGTGATGACAGGAATGGGCAGCTACTGCTCTATGCATATGTAGGTATTGGAGATGAAAGCACTTGTGCCAATGAAACGAATTCTCTTGCTGAAAACCCGAAGAATGATACTAAGAAGAAATATTATCTCATGTGGACTCCACATCTACAGAAAAAGTTTTTACATGCTCTTCAAATACTTGGAAAAGGTTAACAACTTCTGTGTAACTAAGTTCATCGCTATATATAGAAGATATTTTCGAGTCCATATATATAGAGAGTAAATTATATACATGCATGTTGATTGATTTATCTCAGATGCTTCACCAAAAAATATAAAGAAGATCATGGGTGTGGACAACATTGATTGTAGGCAAATTGCTGCTCATCTGCAGGTATGTGTAACATATACATATAAATGACATAGAAGTATATGGTAATTATAATTGCTTTGAAATCTAAAAATAAAGGTAAACATTGACCAAGTAGAAAAGCATTTTTCCTTTGAAGAATTAAATGATTGTCTTTTAGATAGAATAACGAATGCACTTATCCATTGTAAGTAAGCTCGATTGAGAACCTACACCCCTGCAAAAAAAAAACACTAAAGTTATGGATTTGAAAACATTGCAATAACTGCATCTTAACTGTGTCTCTCCTAAAGTGAACCTGATCATCCCAGTCAATTGCAAATGAGGGTGCCTTATAGCATCACCAAAAGATACCTTAAAATACATGATTCAGAATCCTAATAACAGAATTTGGGGATGCATTTTTAGACTTCTCTTGGGCATGCTCTTATGGTGCGTTTCAAAAACAAAAGGATTATTTTACTATAATGGTTGTTGGTAACTTTAGTGTTGATGATGTTCTCTTTGGCACATTTCTTGTCATTCCTTTTGTTTTCTTGTAATTATTTTTCTTCTTTTGAATAAAATATACACAACACTCTTGGGTATTAGGGAATGTGTGTGAGAGAGAAGGTCCAGGTGATATGTCATACGAAGAATATCATGACAGCTGTGCCTTCTTGATTATACAAATATTTCATTAATTGTTCCGTTAATTTATCATAGAAACATCGACTACGGCTAACAAAGGATTTGAAGAAAGCATCATTTACAACGGATACCAGCAAGGATGAATCAAATTCTAGAATAGGGCCTGCAGAGAGTCATCACGTGTGCCGCAACGCAAGTACACTGCAGCCTCGTTCCAACACTCAACCTACAGAAACAACCGTGAGTTAAACGACACAAAACTGGACATTATTAATTACCACGCTCAAATATATTGCCTGCACACTTCATGAAACAAACTGTCAATTTTCTCTTTTCCTTTTTTTACCTTTTAGATGCAAATCCTCTCTGAAGACGCTGAATATGACGATGTTTACGCCGCGATGCGAAGAGCCTTACAGTATGGGATTGTCTTTGATGAGTCCAAGCATTCCAGTGATCCTTCTGGTGATGAGGATGAACAAGTTGTGGTAGGAGGAGATCAAGATGGATGTGCCAATGAAGCCAATGACATAGACTCATCTGGTGATCATCATCAGGTTGCTGCTGTTGTCACTAAACCATGCAACGCAAATGCTTCACAAGAGATAATCAACAAGATGACTAATTCTGATGGTATGCAAGCCACCAAAGGAAGCAAGGCAGCAGTTTTCCGCCTTGTGGATTATTCAGAATCCGATAGCGATTAGACAGAGGCATCGGTCTGCTGCAATCTACTACTAACTGGTCGTAGTTGCAGCAGTAATTAGTAGCCTTCTAATAATAATAATGATGGCCAATTGCATATGGCAGTTCATTATATACCTGTCCTTCATGGAATGTTAAAACTGTTGAAGTTTCTGGACATTATAGTAAAATTGTGATATTGACATATTGTCTGTTAGGAATATGGTTCCAATCAGTGCTTACTTGTTGGGTATACCTTCTGAAATAACATGGTTGGTAAAGCTTAGATATTACAACCCAAACATAATGGAGCTGTTTTTTATTTATGCAAAGTTCACGTGCTGCCCATGGAAGATTAAAAATAAAATTAACAACGAACCATCTATATGTGCCTAGTAATTAGGAGCAAAGAATTATCTAAACACTCGATTGACGATTGGCCCAATTGTAATAGTTGGACTGCAGTGACAAGCTCATTGGTTCAAGCTATGCTAGGTGGCTAGCTTCATCCGGCTACCCAAGATTGAGAAATGTTGGTTGACCACCGGTGTGCACATGTGCAGCCAAGACACAAGATGACATTGAAGATTCAAGTACTCTAACTTCTAATTGACTTTCTAACCCTTACTTCCAAGAAGAATATGTGATCAACTTTAAGTCCTCAGGTTGGAATTTTCTGTAGCATGTACCTTGGACCCTACGTGTTGTTCGTTGTAGTTCTAATCTAAACAACTTATATATGCTTGTGGTTCTACTGAAAATTGTAATTATCCAATCGATCTTCAAGTTAGTGATGGAACTGCTCTAATCCTAATACCTATCAATGCGGATGCGCAAACCCATGCTATGATATTTCTCGAGTTGGCCGCCCTCTTTGTTATATCTTGTCCCTGCTGCTGGTCTCACTCTCACATGCCAGGGCTTACATTTGGAAGTGGTGTGGGTGAAAATGGTATGGAAGTTTCCGACTGTACATGCCGGCTTTTGTTTCTGTTTTGTACCAACTGTTTTTTCTTAAATTCAGTAGTGTCCAAAAATAGAACATAAATGGTGGAGGGTTTTTTTGGGACCATTTTAGCGTGGTGTATCATGTTTTCATCTTAAATTTTACCAAAAAAAAATTAAAACCATGGTATAGAGAGAACTTTTTCTTCCCTAGTGTCTTATAAACCCAGCTAACTAAAACCAACATCCACGCTTCAACAACGTTAGACTGACCACATGATACTCTGAGGTTTGGGAACATTTAACTATTTGCCACTTTTAAGATGTGGCAATTAAGGATTTGCCACTCGCTGCCTATGAGATGTAGACCCTCATGTGTCTATGACATGTGGGTCCAGTGGCAAATCCTTTATCACCGCTCTTAAGAGTGGCAAATAGTTAATTATTCCACTTTGGGGAGTTCACTGTCACTTGAAGTATAGCACATGCTTTTCCTAGCTAACATGCGTGTGTAGTGTGAGTGTGGTGTGCGTCTGTGTGTCCTTGTTGTAATCTCTCAAAAAAAGTTATAGCACATGTTTTTCCTCTTCAGTAACACGGATTTTCATATATACTCATTATGCCATCACGTAAGTCTCACATATATCCTATACCGCTAAACATTTCTGTTAACACCATCAAAATTAAATCAATTATTTGTATCATATTATCAACATTAAATCAATTTAATTAACCCGTTGTCGTCTCGGTTTCAATTATTCTGTCCCCGTTCATATAACTGATATGAACGGTACTCAGCCTAGAAAACCACCGGCCCAAGAACAGAAATCCTTTCTTTTCCAGCTGATTGACCAGCCAGAGGCCTTGCTCACCGAATTGTTCAGTCTTTCCTTGCTCACATGCTTTGCTAACTTTAGAGAAAAAACTGACTTTGGTTTCTACCGCTGTAGTTGAGCACCGCACACATGCTCCCTATCAGTTTCCACGGTGACTCCTATATCGTCTCCCAAAGACCCCTACTAAGGTTCTTGGCATAGGCATCAATGTTTCAATCTTTGCATTTTGGAAATTGCAACACATCCAATTCTCATGTTTGGGGACTATCACCTATTAGGTTGTTTGTTATGAATCACCAAAATCATTCACGCCATATATTTTTGAATAAACACATTCAATCTAAAATTGATCTATGTGATTCTTGCATGGATGCCTCCTTTATTAATTTGAAATGATATGGAAGAAAGTGCTTTGATCAGTAAGATATGGATGTATGTTCTAAACCATAAATGAACACCTGTGAGATGTGGTGCATCAAGTCCTTTATATTTCACCTACATAGCATACATGAATGCGTTAACTCTTCATAGCATCTGGATCATTTATGTTTGCATTACCCTGGAAAAGTCATAAATGTTTTATATCTTAGGCCATCCTCATTTAATCTAGGTGATGCAATCACACAAAATACCTTGGTAGACTATTTTTTTTAAGACCCTTGTTTGGAGGTAGTACTAAAAAATTTTCTTTGCAAATGCTAATTATTTAGTATGGAAGCAATATTTCTTTTTTTTTTCCTGAAATAAAGCCTTAGCCATCACTGAAATTTTGGTCTGGGGTTATAATCGAGCAATATAGTAAATCATAATCTAGTGGCTTTCATGGAGTAAGCTAAGAATTATAGATAAGAGTTTCTAATTTTTTTTCAACATATGCAATGCCAGCCTTTGGGTAATATAGAATAAGAATGTGATTTTGTAGAGCGAGAATACCACTATTTTCATGGTTCGCTTTAACAACATGCAAATTTCTTTCCTTTGAGACCTTTGTCGTTTCACTTAAATAAAAAAATATTTTTCTATTTCTAACTCAATAAATTTCACTAGAAAGATTGTAATTGTTCCTATGCTAACATTGCCAACTCATTCTTTTCTCTTATGGCAATTATAGCACAACTTCTGCCGAGGACTACGGCATAGATTGGCAGTTTGTCCCAATAGGAATTACACGCTAATGCTTTCCTTTTTGTTAATTAATGGCTGATTTCATTTTGGGTTTTGTTTACATTTGAAATTCCATATACAGTATACTAACCATGTAGTTTAAAGAACATCTGTCCTCAATCATATTAACAAACAATATTTTTTTTAAGTGGAAAATGTCACGTGCCATCTTCACCATTGTTGAGCTATCCATGTTTTATGGCATTTTATTTAACACAACGCTTGTGTTACCCACAATATAAATATTTATATATTTACTCACGTAAGTTCCTTTTAAGAAATTACATGTATACTTGCTAATATGGGGGGTCTGTATAAATGCTAATGTGTTATGGTCTTATATATATGGTGCGGAGATTTCCTGCTTTTATTGAACACATTAGAAATATTATATGACGACAAAGGCTTTATACAGATATCATGAGCAGGAACCCTGTTTTGTGCTATAAATAGACTCCAACGCTTCCAAGGGCTTCACACACCAAATAGAGGACCAGAGCTAGCAGAATCCAATCAGAATTTTATGGCTCAAAGGGTATGACACTTCGCTGATGGGGCTTTTGTCATTATCGTTGATGGAGATAAGTGTCATGCCAACTCTACAAGAGCTATGCTCTCTAGCCTCAACTTTCATGGTAAGTCTGTTCGATTCCTGTATACATCCATGCAAGGGAAATATTACGGTGCTAGATTTACCACCATGAGTCCGGCCGATCAGGCTCTTCGCGAAAAACTCCAATTAAGTTTTACGTTTTCCAATGATTGAAGACGTCTTTTCTTCAATTAGTAAATACTAAGTTTTGTTGGATTTGCTCAGTCTCTCTAAAATTTTTCTGGATCTGTAACCAGGAAATATACATATGAAAATGTTTCTTCCACTAATTGTCACTTTCAGATCATAAAGTGTCAACATCCAGAGTGAAAAAAATCCCTGATTTTTCATTTGGGGTACCTACAGTAATACTTTTGTGGGATATTGATTTTTGATCTATATGTTACCAATCTCAGCTTTGCAATATATTACATCTGAAAATATTTCTATCAAGTTCAGAGCAGATACTGCATCCCAAATGGGTCTTAAAAGTAATTGTTGCTTTTCAGTGATAATGTACTCAAGTCCTGTGAATGCACTCATTATTCTGGAGAATAATGCACAAGACATTGTCGTAGTCTTGGCAACAGTGGACGTGAAACAATTGAGTGGTTTAAAGTTCCTTGAAGCTGCAAGAATGAAACATCAAGACCTTCAAGTGATCAGTAAGTAGGCTGATTCTGTTCTAATTCAACTCTATTAATTTTATCTTATGCATCTGCATGGACAAAAAAAATTATTGGGAAATGGCTTTATTGATAATGCTTGTTTAATTTGTACTAGTGATGTCAGCTGAAACCACAAGGTTGTACACAATGATGAGGTGTGTTAAACTCGCTGCACGTTTTCTAGTGAAGAAGCCTCCTAACGAAGACATTGTACATGATCTGTGGCAGCATATTGCCCTGAAAGTTCTGATGATGGAGAAGATCAGGGAATTACTGCAAGGATGCACCATATATGTTAATGGTAGCGTTTGTGTCTTACTTTCTGCAAAATAAGGCATGGACCATGTCCTGAATATTAGGAAATATTAGCATTCTGAATGGTGATATTGTGCAAAATTTGTAGAAGTATTGAGCATAGAAGAGCCTGCAGGCAAAAAGGAAAAACACAACATATATGTTTTCTAAAATATGCCATCACAATGTTTTACAAATTAAAATATCCATAAGAAATTGTACGGTATGTAATAAGTTTACTTCTGAAGTTAGAAATTATAAGATTCTGAAACAATATGTGAAGTTCCCATCAATCTTTGTGATGGTGATATCTAGGAGCTCCTACCTCAACTCTCTCTAGTGACTTCAATATTCTAGTGGTGCTCTTGATACAACAATACAACCAGTCCAAGTAGAAGCTCCACCTTTGCTCAGAAAAAACTTTGATTTCATTGGAGGTATACATGCAACCGAGGATAAATGTCGTGCTGCCTTATATCATTTTGGCCTTGCCAAGTATGCTAATCATTAGCCCTGGTTTCGTTTTTTTTAAACCGATTAACCCTGGTTTCAAGCTTGGAAAGCCCTATTGAGCTACTCCCTCCAGTTCTCTTAGCTGACGTTATAGCCTAATAGCTTTTGGATTGAAAAAATTGACGGTTTAGCTTTCAAGACTCATAGTTTCCCAGCTTTACCCTTGCATGCATGCAAACACAATACACTCCCGATGCAAACATTTGTTGCTTCGTTTCCATCTGTGACGCAATGGCCAATACTCCCGGAGTAAAGATGCATGCATCCGTTACTTCGTCTCCATCCCCGAATGTATTTAATATGAGTATAACTAAAAATATGGATCCTAATTAATTACTTATTGCTATTTGCAATGCTGTCTAAAACGTCAATTAAACTAGAACTAGAGGGAGTATGTATTCATTGTCAATAGTATACAATATTCAGGAAAAAAGTATATAAACAATTATGAAAATTTATGAAATAATATAATGATGCATATACCAATGCCAAGGACATCGCAATACACTACACTAGAAGTATAGGCTCTTGTGGTTCATGATTTGGGGATGGTGAGATTTAGGGATATATGCTAGTGGAGATTATACTTGGTCATGACCCCCCTATCATCTCTGACTATAGGTGTTCTTTTGTATGCTAGTTCGGCTCATGTGTGTTTTGGTTTGGGCCCATGTGCCCTAAGTGTTCTTATGTGATATTATTAGTCTCGTGTAGAGTGTTTAAAGAGGTTTAGACAAGTTTTTAAATGCTCATGTTTCAACCGTTGTAATTCTGGGTTAATCCTTTTACACTAATCAAGGATGATAGTGTAAGTTTAGTTCCATGCATACATGGGCCTGCTCTTTGAAATAGGTAAGCTATTGTAGATTTTGGTCCACCGTGTTATAGTTAATATCAGTTAGAGGTCAAAGTTTAATGAAACAATAGTATCATATAAGGCAATCACCATGCATGATTGTTTGGTTGGTGGATGTGCATGGGGTGGTTGGCTGGTGACATTACTGACATGAAGTGTATATATGTCCACTTGCTCAGAGGGTGTAGCCCAAACTTTCTATCTTACTTTTGTCTTTGTGTATTAGATGCAAGATATATATATAATTTAGGGGTAGGTGGAATAACTCCAAAGAACATTGACCCATGGAGATATGCATTGCGGAATGGATGTCCATTTCTTTTCGTTCTTTATTGTTGCATGTCATCATATCTTGCATACGTATGTAGCTAGAGTCAAAGGTCTTCCCCAATTTCCTAGGTTCAATGGTGGAATTTAAAAAACACCCTGGTACTTGCTCCATTTTATTTACCTTTCTTCCCATGTACGCAGTATTATGTCCCATGTACACAATCACTCTTAATGGTTTAGAATAAAATGCCTCTTTATGAGAAATTAGTGATAATAATGAATGTGTCATGCACGAAGAAGCTTGTACGATTTGTGTGTTATCACTACTTTCTATAGTGTGTCGCATCAATATAATGTGACTTCTTCTTGCAATGTGACATGTAAGATAAATCAATACATAAATGTTTAGACGTGTTATGCCAATGGTGGCCATCTTTTTAGCGAGCTATGTGATGTCCTTATAGTGTGTTGTCTTCCTACAATTTTATGTTTATTTATGATAAGATAAAACATGAAAATAATATACAAATCAAGTATGTCCCTGCAATATTATCAAACTAAACAAAAATTTTGCTTGTAAAGTACCTATAATATGATCATCAAGCGATACTCATATGGGAAAAATAAGTGGATTTTATCAAATCATATGTTTTATTATGATAGACTAACAATGGTTGCATATTGTAGTGTTTTTAGATATCCTTTTATATTTTATATTCATACATTATGGACATATGTATAAATTGTTTTTAGGCAATGGACTTCAATGAATAGTAATAAAAAGTATACCAAAACAACATATATTGTGCAACTATAAATAAGCTCTAGTGCTTTTGAGTGTACTTCACTCACATACACAACACCAAAAACAATACAATCCATCCTAAAGAAACATATGGAACAAAAGAAAGAAGGAAGGCTTACCGACATGCTCAATGTCATGGTAATCGATGAAGATAGACGTCATGCCTACTCTACAAGTTCCATGCTCACTCAATTCAACTTTTGTGGTAAGTCTTCAATTCTAGTCCTCGATCTATGTTCGAAAAAATGATTTATTCTCTTTCAAGTATATACCACAGTATAACTCTTGGAACATGTGGCTTACTTAGAGGTGGCCATGTGAGTAGTAGTGTGGGTTAATCACTCAATAAAATTTTACAGTAAGTTGCAGCATACTACCTTTGGTTTACCTTGGCTCCAATCAAATTTTGGGCCCAAGGTAATACAATTTCATTTTTTCCAATTTTCGGTGCATTTATATTCTTAAAATAGTATTGCCATATATATATTGTTTGGCATGCAAACTTATGTAAAGAGAAATTTTGAGTTGTAAACATGCACTAATTTTTTTTATTGTTCACAGTCACAGTGTACACAAGCCCCATCAAAGCGCTGGATTTTCTTGAGAATCATGCACAAGATTTTGATTTGGTACTGGCAGAGGTGCACATGGAAGAGCTGAATGGTTTTGCATTTCTTACGGCTTCTAGGAAGATTCATAAATCCATTCAAGTGATTAGTAAGTAGGCATATTATATATGGCATCTTTTGGGATTTTACACCTTCAATTATTAAATGTCATTCTGTCACTACTAAATTATTTTTCACATTTATTTGTTCTAATGAATCTCACTTTTAAAAAGTGATGTCAACTGAAACAACGATGTGCACAATGAAGAGGTGTGTGCAACTTGGCGCTCGATTTTTGGTAAAGAAGCCTCTTGATTTTGAAACTACACAAAATATATGGCAACATCTAGATCTAAAAGTTGTACGAATGGAGAAGATAAAGGGTTTGCTTCAAGGTAGTATTATCAGTTATTGATTTGTTTCTGTAGTTGGTAAAAACAAGTTTGATATATTTCAATCTTGTGTCTCTGCAAAAGTTAAACATATGTTTGTGTTTAGACAGTTTTGTAATCTTTCCAACCTTGACTACTTATATGTGGATTTTTTTTTTTGCTAGATTCACCAAATTAGGGGAGCAGTATGATTTCATAATGCTTTTACTTTTGACACATTTTACTAATTTTAGACGGTCAAAGTTCCATAAAATTCTTTTTTAAGGGTAAGTTCCATAAAATTTTAGTAATGGTGTGTGGAGTGAAAAATAATGCTGAGGAAAGAAATATTTTAAAAAATAAATTAAAATGTATCCACAATAAAAATCCATGTATTTTTTATACATATTTTGCAAAAGGGGTGTGTGCAGACATAGGTTTCTGTAAATAACTTTTCCTTATTACATAATATTCCCTCTGTTTTTTAATAGATAACACTGTTGACTTTTGAACACATATTTGACCATTCGTCTTACTAAAAAATTTTATACAAATGTATAAGATATAAATCAAGTACTTTGAGTGATAAACGACTCACAACAAAATAAATTATAATTATGAGAAATGTTTGAATAAGACAAATGGTCAAACGTGTGAAAAAAGTCAACAGCGTCATCCATTAAAAAACGGAGGTAGTATATAATAGGGGGTTCCCCTACTGTTTCTTAATAAAAAGATTAACTTGTAAATTTTAGATATTGATACTAAATTATGCATGTTGATTTATTTTAGATGACTCATCTAAAAATACGAAGGTGATCAAGAACAAGGGCACCACTGATTGCAATCAAATTGCTACTCATGTTCATCAGGTATGTATTTTTTCCCCTAAAATATGATATAGCATTTGGTGCATGCAATTCATTTCACTAATAAATGTCAAATAATCACTGCCAGAATCCATAATCACTGTCAAAATACATGTCCCCCTATAAATTCTGAAAAAATAAACCAAGCCCAAAGTTCGCACTAGTCCATCTAGGCGATTATCTTCCTCGCTACATATATATATTATTTCAATAATTATATAGTTCATTTATCCTAGGGCCGCCAACTGCACTTGGAAAAGGAAGTAAGCAATGCGTTATTTACAAACAAAAGTAGAAAGGGTGCGTCAAGTTCTAGACGTCAGAGACACCAGTTTCATCCCTCAACTCAACTTGCAAAAACCACTGTGAGTTAACCATACAAAAATTGTATATTATTACTACTGAAAAAGGTAATGTTGTACACCTAAGGTGAAGGTACCTACTGATTTCTTTTGCCATTCAGATGCAAGTCCTCAATGGAGATGATGTTTACACCGCTATGAGAAGATCCTTGCATCTTGGGACTATCTTTGATGAGTCCAACTATTCCAATGATCCTTGCAGCAATGAATATAAAGTTGGAGAAGATGAGATTGGAGGTTATGGCTGTGCCAATGAGGCAAATGCCACACACTCATCTGATGATCACAATGTTGTTGTTCCTGATCTATCCTGCAATATAGCAGATGATGTTTCACAGGAGATTATGAGCAAGGCTACTACTTGTGTTGATCATCGGAAGCAAGACACCACACGAACTGATGGGCCAGCAGCTATGAGTGCTGATGAAGCTAATGCTACATTCTCAACTGGTAACCTGCAGCAGGTTAATGTCATTGTGACCTGCAATGGAGATGGTTCACAAGAGAGCATACAGAAGAATACTTGTGATGACCAGCATGCCCCCACAGGAAGTAAGCCAGAAACTTTCAGACTTGTGAACTATTCAGACTCCGAGAGCGATTAAATAGAGGCATGTCCGAGATAATTAGGATGGAAATTGTAGCGAGCTGAAGAATGGCAAATAAAAATAAAGGTTCCAAAAAACGATATTGATGGCCATACATCTCGCCCATGGCAGTATTTGTATATTTTCATCATGCGAAATAAGTATTTATGGTGACACTTGCTTGTATGCACATCGGGGAATGTAGAGGAACTGGAATAATTTATCATTTTCCTAAAATGTATGGTTTTGTTTTGTTCTTTTTAGAAACAGTGCACTAAGTTCGTATGAATAGTTTCTAATTGTGACTCCAACAATCTATTTTCTACAGTTTGTACTAATGTGTGTGATTTGTGATGAGCCGAAAAAACTATTTATTTGGTACTCTCACACTATCAGTAATGACAACTATAGTATGTGCAGGTTAAGAATGGAGACCGCTACGGTCAAGGCTTCCACACCAATTTATGTTTTCCTTTCATCAATTACTGGTTCTTGGACTACTCAAGTGAATTTTAATCCGCAAACTACTCCACTCAAGTAGCATGTTTATATATGCTCTCATCGGTCTGCTTGTTGGCTTATCTGCCATAGCTAAAATTTGAATTTTGAAACTTAATATCGGAGTCGATTTTTGAGTTTTTGTTTTCATCGTGGTTTGTTTTCCAGCTTTTCAGTTTTACACTACTAATAACACTAACATAAAAGGTTTACCTATATATATTTTTGGTTGTTTCATTCATTTTCCGATGAATTATCGGCATAGCTCAACCAATCCGAGCGGTACATCTTTGCTCATAATTTACATCATGCAGGGCCAAAAACGAGGCTTCCATCATGCCTTGGTGTCTTTTTGATGAATGCACAAGTTTCCAGATAGTTGAAATGATAAGGATTAACACTTCCCTTGCATGCACGCCAGTATAATGGCTGCTATGGCTGCCATGTCATAAGTTCCATAGTGCCACTTGTCCATAATATGGCCAGATGATTGATATGCACACTTGCAGTGTTGGACTGGCTAGCAATGTCATGCTAGCTACATGCATGCACTGTGGGGCAGACCCAGAATTTTGCTAGGCCTCAGGCCAACCCATGGTGATTTCGTCCCAAATGCTGAATAAAATGGTAAACTATGACAAGGTTCTATGAGCTTTAGCACTTAGGCCCGACCATGGCCCAGGTGGCCCAAGGCCTAGGTCTGCTCTTGTGTGCATGTATATAGTGTATGTACACTTTTGTCCGGATATCATAGTTCTGACTAGCCATATATCAACACTCTATCTCTAAGATATCTCTGAGGTGTAGCTCTTATCATTATGTATTAGCTACAAGATATAATTTATTTATGTGCATGTGAGATATTTTCAAGAGTACACATCAGTTCGAGATAGAGATGCTATGTATGGATATATATGCAAGTTTCTATTATTTTATATTGCTACTCACATTTTGTTTGAAAATATATTGCTTTGCACATCACAATATCCCCACTGCTTGCATCACTAGAGATACATATATATGGAGTCAAAACTATCTGGCTAGGTCAAATTGGTAGAATTTCATAAAGGACCTTGATTGCCCCTCTATGTTATGCAAAAATCTTTTTTTTGGCAATTTATTATTTACACTAAAATATATACATTGTTTAGTGTTCCTCACCTTACATTGACATTCTACTCTATATATTGTCAATGTTAAGGACATGGGTCTTTCTATGAAAAGTATGTGATAATGGATAACACCATGCCTTGAGAAAAAAACGGTGATTGTGGTTTCATCACAACTGTGTAAATACATTACGTCACTATAATGTGACATCTCTCGGTTATGTGATCTACATGACAAAAGAAAAGATAACACACGTCGAAAGTTCCACCAATGTTGCCCAACTAACTAGCGAGCATCGTTTCTTCACTTCACATTCACAGGATCCAACTTTTGCCTTTTTCATACAAAATGAGTTACGTTCCTCCATTGTGTCTTGTTTGTGATCATCTAACAAGCGAGTGTTACGCTTATGATGAACATGCATATGCTTCGGGTATATGGAAATATCATTTAATAGTTGATCCCAGCTAATGTTACCCAACTATATATGTTTATATGGAAAATATTGTTGGATTTTATCACATTACATGTGCCAGCATGATAGTTCTAAGAAAAACTTATAAATTTAGTTAATTATAAAATATGGACCTTTTTAGAAATTATCATACGCAATGGTCCTTGATGAATAGTAGTAACAAAACATATACCAAAAACACCATACATCAAACCTTGTTGCACTATAAATAGCCTCTAGTGCTTTCATACTTCACAAAGAACATAACGAGTTGAATACTATTCTTGAGGAACTTATGGCCCAAAATGAAGGAATCCCTAATGGTACGCTTAGTGCCATGGTAATCGATGAAGATAAATGCCATGCTGATTCTACATGCTCAATGATCTGTACACAACTCAACTTTTGTGGTAAGTCCTTTCTGATCCTCTCCATCATAATATGTCAAGGACTAGATATTGAACTGCATGTGTTGTAACCCATGGTTTTATTGTTATACCACACGTTAAAAGTTGCAAACAAGTTTTATATATTATATATATAGCAGTGTACTACATTGGGGTTAATATCTTGTATGGTTATGAAGCAAGACAAAAGTTGTATTTGGATTTTATTAATTCATGGATTTGTTTATCTTACGTGCAACGGCTCTAAGCAAGCTTTGGGCGGAATATGTTACAAGTATGCTTATTGACATTCTATGTGTATATATATTATTTAAACACTAATTTCAACTTTCCATTGGTTGGCATGCAGACTACTATAAAGCTATTTTTTGATATGGAACAGGCATCGATTTTCCTTTTTTGTTTTTTCAGTCACAGTATTTACAAGTCCCATAAAGGCGCTAGATTTTCTTCAGAATCAAGCAGAAGGTGTTCATTTGGTTCTGGCAGATGTCCAAATGGAAGAAATGAATGGCTTTGAGTTCCTTAAAGTTGCAAGAGAACTTCATAAATCCATTCAAGTGATTAGTAAGTATCTAGACATATTTTCTATTCTTTATGGGGACTCCAAAGTTTACACATACAATTGTTTAATGTCCATATGGTTTATTACTTTGATTTGTCTACCAAAATATTTACTAGATTTATTATGCTAATAGATCTCTCTTTTGAATTAGTGATGTCAACTGAAACGACAATTTACACAATGAAGAGATGTGTTCAACTTGGCGCTCAAATTTTGGTCAAGAAGCCCCTTGATGTTGTAACCATACAGAATTTGTGGCAACATCTTGACATCAAAGTTCTAAAAATGGAGAAGATTAAGGATATGCTTCAAGGTGGCTTTATAATTTATCAATTTATTTTACAACTAATAATGTATATATAGCTTTCTTACATCAGCTCTAGCATAATATATATGCCACATATGTTCAGATAAATTTTTAGTTGTCTTAGTTTCATTGCAAATATGTTTATTGACTTTTGATAAATATTCCAACAATATATTATAATTAAGAACATATTTTTGGGAAATATTGTTTTTACAATTATATAGTTTCGTTAGTACTAACAGTTTGTAGTAATTTTGGATAATTAAAGTTGCACTAATGTCTACGGTGTTGTGAAGTATACAAGTCAAAATAAATATTGTCAAGTAAAATAAAATCTATATAGAGTTGGCATATTAGACACATAAACATAACAAGAGCCTTTTGTAGTGAAACATAGTGATGAATAAAGTTTTTTAATTTCATTTCAAAAAATTAAATATAAAAACTTCTTTATTTGAAATGTATTATGTATAGTATTCATTAAAAAAATATCTATTTATTTATATTTTTACAAGACATACAAGTAAAAAAAAGAATGAACATACCTGCTCAATGCTTATGTAGGTGTTGGAGATAAAAGCACTTGTGCCAATGAAATGAACTCTTTTCCTGAAAACCAAAAGGATGGTACTAAGAGGAAATATTACCTCATGTGGACTCCACATCTGCAGAAAAAGTTTCTACATGCTCTTGAAATACTTGGAGAAGGTCAAATATCTTTGGTGTAATTAGTTCAATTCATCACTACAGAAGATATTCTGGATTTCAGATATATAAATAGTGAATTATATGTATACATGTTGATCGATTTATATCATATGCTTCACCTAAACAAATAAAGATGATCATGGATGTGGACAACATTGATCGCAAACAAATTTCTACTCATCTGCAGGTATGTATACGATGTACATTTCTAAATTACATATATGCTAATTAAATTTCTTTGAAAATCTAAATAAAAAGTAAACATCAACCAAGTAAAAATGCATTTTCCATGTTGCAATAAAATACCTTGTCTCTGGGATAGAATAATGAATGCTCTGGTCCATCATAATTAAGCTCGATTGAGAATTTGCAGCTAAAAAAAACTACTAAACTCTAAGTAAGAGTAGGGATTTGAAACATCACAATAAATTTCATCTTTTCAATGGTGTATGTAATGTCAATGGATCAGCAGTCAATTGCAAATGAGGGTACCCTGTGGTGTGTTGCAGGAGAAAAGAATCTCGGTAGAATGGTTGTTGGTAGCTTAGGTATTGATGATGTTTTGTCTATTAGCACTTGCATTTACTGTTTTTCATTTTGTTTTCTTGTAATTATTTTTCTTCCTCTAAATAAAGCGATGCATAGTCCACCTAAGAGTTCAAGGGGAACAATGTAGAGATTAGAGAATGTAAGAGAGAGAGAGAGAGAGAGAGAGAGAGAGAGAGAGAGAGAGAAGGTCCAGTTGATATTTCATATGTGTATAATATGCAGGGAGAAAATATGACAGTTGACTTATTGTTTATACTAATATTTTCATTAATTATTTCATCAATCTATCCTAGAAACATCGACTGCAACTGAAAAAGAAGTTAAGCAAGGCATCATTTACAAAGGGAAGCAATGAGGATACATCAAATCCTAGTGCAAAGAATCATCTCACATGTCGTACCATGACCCTGCAGCCTCATCCCTACACTAATCAGCCTGCAGAAACAACTGTGAGTTAAACCATACAAAACTGATAGTGTTGCACACTTAATGAAAGCAAAATTGGTGGTCTTAATATAGTGCAGTATGAGTCTCTCTTGTTGTTTCTTGTAAAAACAAATTGACGATTTGCTTTTCCCTTACAGATGCAAATCCACTCTGAAGATGTTGAACATGATGATGTTTATGATGCAATGCGAAGAGCCTTGCAGGATGGGACTGCCTTTGATGAGTCCAAGTATTCCAGTGATCCTTTTAGTAATGAAGATGAAGATGTGGTAGGAGATGGATATGCAGATAAAGCTAATGCCATAGACTCATCTGGTGATCATTACCAGGTTGCTGTTGTCCTCACTACACCACACAACGTGGACTATACACAAGAGATCATGAACAAGGTTACTACTTCTGATGATGTGCAAGTCACTAGGGGAGGCAAGGCAACGGTTTCCCGCCTTGTGGATTATTCAGACTCTGACAGCGATTAGACAGAAGAATCAATCTACTTCAAGCTACTACTAGCAGTAACTGATTGGTGGTAGTTACAACAATAATTAGTCTCCTACATAATAATATTATGATGCTGGCCATATACAGTTGATGTAATTTTAATTCATGCAAAATAAGACTCCATATTGAAACAGTTAGTTTTGGACATTATAAAATTGTGATATTAGCATATCGTTTGTTAGGTGATACTCCACCAATAAATATAAGAGACTTTAAAGTGGAAGGATGTAGAGAAAAGACTTTAATACCCCTTATTAAATAAGGAGTTGTTGGAGGTGTGAGGTGGTTGGGAGGAAGGAATTTAAGTGGAAGGTAACTGACAAAATGTAACACCCTACGGGTCCTAGGATACCATCTCTACTACTACGTTGTATACCAACATCTTTATAAACTAAAGGCAACAAGTATTAGTATGATAATACACAAGTTTAAGCATATAAATAACCTTGTACATAAATATGTCAACTATTTGTAGAATTATGGGCCTGTTTGGTACAGCTCCAACTCCTAAATATAACTCCAGGAGTTGAGTCTGGAGTGGAGTTGTGGAGCTGCCAAAACCCAGCTCCACAACTCTAGTATATTTTGTGAGAGAGCTCCACCCAACTCTACTCCCAGTTTTGGTGGAGCTGAAACTGTTTGGCTGAGCTCCAGCTCCAGGAGGGGTGGAGCTAGAGCTGGAGCTGTGCCAAACAAGCCCTATATATCCCATCTGAATGCTTCATCTACTCTCTCCCACTATGCATGCCTCGTAGCATCAAAACCTAAAGTAAAATATACATGTCCTAATCGGACTCTAAATAATCTTTCCTAAAAATAAAAGGAAACTAACTTACTCTTCCTAATTAATAAATAAACTGTCATGTTGCATCCTTTTTTAAATTGACCCCCTCTAGATAAACTTCTTTAATTGATTAATTCCTTAACCGGATCTATCAAGAATCCAACAGCTAGCGGCTGATAATTTCCATTGGCTCACTCCAAGACTCTAAAGCCGATACTGACTCTAGGCCGATGATAGTTTCAGGGTTTACCAAATTTTGACGTTAATTGGTTCCCACTTTGCCGTCGTCGCCCTCCCAACCTCCTGTCGCCACCGCCAGCCTCCCGGCCTCATGTAGCCGCCTTCATTGGAGAAGGCGAAGATGAATCGAGACATAGAAGCAAAACGGCAACAGAGAGGCAACAGTAGTGGTAGAAAGGCATTTTGGAAGAGTGGCGGCCACCGCTTTCATCCTTCTGTACCTTCCGTTCCTCACCGCCACCTTCCGCTCCCTCACTGCCTCTGATGACCTGTCGCCCCGACCACAGGAGAGAGGAGGGAGGCCACTCTTCGCCACCACCTTCTAGGCTCTAGTGCACCCACCTCGAGCCTGCCCTGGATTCAGCGGGCGAGGGCCGCGCAGACCTCATCCATCGCCATGAGCCTCTCGTTAAGCCTGCCAACAAGGGGAAGCTAGACCCAGAGCTCTAGTGATAAGAGAGAGAAAGGAGGGAGGGAGGGAGAGAAGACGGGAGAAGGCATCGGTGCCCTTCCCATCTCCGGTTCGCCGCTGCTACTATCACCCTACCGAGTCCTGGCCTCTCTGCTGTGGAAGAGGGAAGAAAAGGAGAGGGAGGGGAGAGAAGGGAAGAAGAGGGGATGGAGACTTACATGTGGGTCCCATTGTCCTTTTTTATCTTCTTTTTTTATTATAGTGCCATGTGGACGCCACGTATGAATGAAGAGACTAAGTCAATGCATGCCACGTAGTACAAAACGTTGTCCAAACAATCCGAGGAGGCAAATTGAACCAGTATTGATATTTGGAGAAGTCATTATATCCGGTTTTGCGGTTGAGGGATATGAATTAGATCTGAGCTATATTTGAGGGAGTCAAGTTAGACTTATTCCAAGGGAGGAATAAGAGGGAGAGAAGTGGACTTTGGCCGCGGGCCGAGGGAGAGGAGAGAGACTTTGGGCCATTATAATTTTTAGTTTTTCTTTTTAATAAACTATGATAATTGTGTTTGTTGCTTAATAAATATTTTCGGTGCTCTGAAAATTCTAGTAAAATTTGAGGGCTCCTTTTAGACCAAGGAGAATTTAAGAAAAATACTCTGGGCCACATTTGATTTTTTCTTGTGCACATTTTAATAAATTCTATTGTTCCTTTTAGAGTGATTTTTAATTTGGGATGAATTTACAGGACGTGACAGGTAGGTACAATTTAGTACATAAAATTATAAGTTGTTCGTTTCGATGCACAAACTTGTCTAGTGCGTGCAAAGTAAGGCCAAAAAACACTTTATAACTAATTTCTCTAAAAGTTGCGCTCTGAGTAGGATATTATGCATGTGCTCAATCAGTAAAATGACTCTTTAGATCAGTAAAACAAACATGGGTTCATGTTTTTGGCTGTTGGCTCCGATTTTTCTTAGGAGATTAGCCCTTCATTTCATTCATGGCTGCCTTGGCGTATGGTAATGATATTTACTTCTGAATTTTTCTCTCATTCTATCAAATGAAATAGCATAGCTACTGCTTGTTTTAAAAAATATATACTCAATTAAACATAGGATATATGTTGAGTGTACAGACAAAAGGTATATAAAATATAAAAGGAAGATCCAATGAATACAAAATAATGGATAAAAACAAGGTAAACAAAAAAAGTATATGTAAAGGTTATTTAGACATAAGACATCTCTCGTAACCTTAATTATGCACGTGACATCCTAATCAAACTCTATATTAGCATGATTAGTCACAATATACTGTTTTTGACTTGATTTGCATGAACTAGACAAATTCATGCACCATAATAAGTATTTTACAAATTTGTATACTAAATTACACCTACGTAACAGGTTTATGTATCACCAATGCAATTTACTTTTCAATAAAATGCAGCGTTACTTGCCTTCAGTGAGAAGTAGCACTTAGCATATGACGACCAGCTGTGATCTCAAAAGCACTATATCATGATAAACATCATCAGACAATACCTCAATGCACAATCGATTACAAAATAGAAACAAATCACACATCAATATAATACGCCTCACCAAGCTAGGATGTTTAACTAAACAAACCATATTGCCTTAGTTCGGAGTCTTTCTAGTATTTGATTCGTAATAACTCATATACACAACCATGCTTTTCATGTGATCTACTCCCTCCGTCCCATTTTAAGTGCAACCATGAGTTTTCCGTGCCTAATTTTGATCGTCCGTCTTATTTGAAAAAAATTATAATTAGTATTTTTATTGTTATGAAATGATAAAACATGAATAGTATTTTACTCGTGACTTATGTTTTTAATTTTTTTTTTAAAATTGTTTTAAAAAAAACGGACGATCAAAGTTGGACGCGGAAAACCATGGCTGCACTTAAAATGTAACGGAGAGAGTACATATAATTATCTACCATTGTTATTTTATCAACAGGGTTTAATTTTTATACCCATCAAGGTTGTTGCTATAATTAACTTCTTGACGTATACAGATAAGCTGAAAAAAATAAAATAAAATAAAACAGAGTTAACAAGCTAACCAAAACTAACTGATTTAGCCCTCAATTCAAGGATTGTGAAGTCATATACCATTGTTCATTTAATTCCTATACCAAAACTAATCGTCTCCAAAGACCACCTCGGCCCCGTTTTCATTTATGCTAAATACACAAGCTGCCCACAAAAGGTAAAACTATTATCAATTGTTTATGCGGCAATTGCAAATATGCCACCATTTTAAATCGTTATTACTAAACCACCATTACAATATTACAAAACTGCCATTAGAACTATCATTCAAATGATATTCTCACAAGATATTATAAAAAACCAATAGGAAAATTTGAAAATGTCCTGTTGTTTATAGCATTTTCCAATTATCTCAACGATGCAAATTCTATGAAGATTTAAAGTTGCATCGTCTAGCTACAAAACAAATCCATTTAGACATCCTATTTACCTATTTGCCATTATTGTATTTACCTATTTGCCATTATGATACAATATTCCTGCAGTAACGTACGTTGTTCCTTAGTTATTTAATACAGATAGGACCCGACAGAATTTTATACATCGATGAGCTTTTCACATGTTTGCTATGGGACCCTTAGGGCTTGTTTCACACGTTTGCTATGGGACCCTTAGGGCTTGTTTGGTAGAGCTCCAACTCCTAAATTTAACTTTAAGAGTTGAGCCTGAAGTGGAGTAGTAGTGTAGTTTAAACCCAGCTCCGCTCCAATTTTTAGGTGGAGCTAAAATTGTTTGACTAAACTCTGGCGTACAGAGAGGTAGAGCTAGAGTTGTACCAAACAATCCCTTATTATAAGGCCTATTTAGGGAGCGTAAGATTCTAAGAAGTAAGAAGCAACTAGTTGATAACCAACTTATAAGAATCTAGACATGCTGAGTTTCTCAGCTTCTGGTTTCTAGTTCATCTTGTAGATTTTAGAACTAAAATTTCTCATAATCTAAACGAAAAGTTGGACTGTCAAAAGTTCCTCCAGACATACCCTTAGCAACCCCTCACAAAGCATACGCTGCGCATGCTATCCAAACGGATTGTACAGATCTCATGGCCATACGTGGAGTGGTAAATATACGAAGGTTTACAAATTTGGATGGTATTTAAGTGCACCGGAAACTTTTGGTGGTACCTTTCTACAACAGGCATCTTGCGACGTGCAGTAATGAGGTCAAAGTCAAACTGAGGCTTCAGGAGATGAGCAGTAATGATTACGAATGTCATGTGATGTCCAAACAGTCCAACCTGTGCTCCTGCTTACATAACATCAACTCCACGCGCATACATTCGAATGACAATACAAATCACACTAATCCAGCTAAACTATTTCTAAGAGTTTGCAGCTTTACTGCCCAGCACTGTTGCCTGCACAAAGAGAGAACATGTTAAGGATGCCAATAGATCAGATAACAGTTTTGTCATTAAATGATGTATTTGAAGTAAGAAGGAAAAACTGGATGCATATTGAAAAAGCAAGTGACCAATAACTAGCAGGAACCCATCATAGACAGCAAGCAATTCTGGTCATTCTACAACCTTTTAATACTCTGAAAACACATGTAACGATAGTAAAAAGAAACTACATTTGTTTCCTTAAATAATCAATATTTATAAAACGATCATGTATTTTGCAATTTGAATGAAACACAAGTGTCAACTGCTCATTCTTAGTTCTAGAGAAATAGCAGATAAAAGCTCCATAAAGACAGTTCCAACCAAAATGCAAAAGTCACACTGAATGTTAGACCAATAGGCGATGCCAATCTAGCACGGCATTGTTTTTCTCATAAATGAAGGCAAATAAAGTTATAGTGCCATAAGTTTTGATTGTAAATATGAAGTTCAAGAAACCCAGGACTGCTAGTGTATTTTACCCTATATTTGTACTGTGATATATAACAGATTAGAATGGATGGTAAGTAGTTCGAGAATTCAAAATTCATGCAAAGATAACTCTCAAAGATTAATTTTGATCATTTTTAATAATTCATGCAGAGAACACATGGAAGTAATAGCCAGGTGGAAGCTGTTGCAAATCAAAACCTTCAATTTGATTATTTCTATGCTGATTATTTTTTTCTCGAAAATGCAGGACGACTGCATTTCATTTCATTAAGAAGAAAGCGAATAAATGTCCAAAGAAAGGGTCAAGGAAACAACCCCGATACAACCCAAGAATGCATCCTACACAAGCGATGCTCGACCAATACGCTGATTAATTGACTGCTGTCACTAGCTTCATCTTGACAGATACAAAAATAAAAGAGAAGTATCAGTTCTTATGTTCAGGTACCCGATTGGTGCAAGATCCCCATTTCAAAAAACCTATACAGTATATGCATCATTAAAAATGTCAAGCAACAAAAAGTAAATTTGCCTCTAGTGGCACAAAGACATACCAAATCTTGAACTCCATTAGGATTAGGAAGCCCATTATTGTGAAGTAACTAAGTGTCCACAAATTAGAATGAACGGGAGAATTATTCATGCAATTGTCAATTAGTATCTAGAAATATTTTAACCAGATGAACATAAATTTGGACAGCTCAGAAATATATGCATTTCTTCAATTCTTGCAACACAGAAGTACACAGCTAAGATTTCTTTGTCGGCTCATAAATAAACTGAGCAGAATTCTAGAAAGAATGTTACATTGAATGAAAGTTGAGAAAACTTTGTTACCCTACATAAAGTTCAGATATGTACAACTAAGATAGTTCAGCTCAATACTACTAAAAAAATATATGAATAGCAAATTTGAATATTATTTGTCGGAATGCATTAATATAACATATGCATAGGAAGAAAAGAACAGCATAATACAGATGTATGGTACAGCTGCAGAAATAGAACAGCATTTTCTGCATAAGGATACAGAAAAGGATACAGGTGAAGGCTATACCAAGATGCTTGTATTAGTATACTGCAAGATAATGTCAAATAGCAGTGTAAAAATAAGAACAAAACATCAAAAAGAACTCAAAATGTAAGATAGCAAGTATACCTGACCAAAAAAAGGGCAATTGTTTTCTTCAGTAATGGCGATCATGTTTTCTTCTATGATGTGCCCCATCATGGTATATCTCACGCTGCCCCGTAGACGCCTCATCAATCATGCTTGTTGCAGGATCAACATCAGAATATGCGCTTTGGGGATCAGATCTATCACTGAACTTATCTTGAGTCACAGACACTGATCTATGCCGGGTATGACTAGTTGTACTTACATCATTGCTTCTGACTCTTGACATGCGGTCATATTCTCTCTGAGGACCATCTTGTACAACTGCTTGATTCAGAATAATAGTCTGACCCATTTTTGTTGTACTTATAACCATATTTCCTATGATCATCAGAATTTCTTTGGTGTCCGCTGTTCTCATGATGGTGAGAATACCTTTGATCTACTGTGCTTTCTGAATCTTTAATACTTCTATTCTCATGATCAGATACTTTCTGGTACTGGCGTTGATGACTTCCATTTCTTAAGTCCTTATATGAATCCCTCGTGCCATGGTTCCTTGATGAAACTATTCCAAAAGAATTAGCACATGGTAATTTTTCACAACTGACTGATGGAATACCAAAACTGTCCTTACCATAAGAACTGCTTGTAGGATTAAAACTTCCTTGGTATGTGCCATCATGAGGACTATTCTTAAGCACACTCTGTGCAATATCACCAGGCACATCCAAATGGCAACCAATCCCTCCTGCCTGTTTGATCTCTTCCATATGCTCATCAATTATGTCTCTTAAAATCTTCAACAGAGAAGGAAAAAAAATTAAATCCATATATCGATCACATATTGCAGAATCAACTGAGTATAAGTAACATAACATGCACTGAAGGGTCATCTGAGTATATGACACATTGAACAATCTAGATGGTATAAGAATAATTAAATATGAAATCTAAGCGTAACTAACTTGAGATTGAAAATGAATAAATAAATCAATTGAGATGATGTTCCCTGACTTCGAACCCTAATAGAAAGTGAGCTGTCATCAACAAAAGAGAGTGTTGAGTAATGTTCCACCTGAAAAGTTACATAGACCCTCCATGTAAATCTGAATTATCATGGTCACAACACAACATTTGGACTGGCTTTTTGATAGTAACACACAGATAAAAATAATAATATGCTAGGAAATATTTTCAAAGACATCTGATGGATTTGTTTTTCTTGTGATCAGTCACACAATCTTTTACTTATAATAATACCCAAGATTTCAAACGTTTGCAAGCAGGATCCCATAGAGAACTATATTTAGGGGCCATTGGACATACATAAATGATTCATATATCAGAAAACTTGAGGATGATAAAGACAAATGATATTTTTGAGAAACAAATCCAAACGAACCTCTTTTGGATTTCTCTTCGCTTTCTTGCCACGGTACGACGTTCTTCTTCGCTTGTAATCTCGCTCTTCAGCTAAAAGCTCCTCTCTAGTCTTGACTCTACCAAATTCCTTTTCAAGATGGCAATAAAGAGAGCTAAGATACACTAAAATGATATTATGAGCACCATCTTGTACAGAAAACAAAGTCAAGAGGATCAACACTATGTTCTTAATTTTTTTTTTAAGAAAATGTGCATTTAGATAGTAAATAACAAAGCAAAGAGATCAGAGCATGTTAGTCAAATGTTCAAATATAAAGTATCTACAGATCATTAAGGATCATAAAAACTATAAATGCAACTGTTTCATGAGTCAATATTTTTTTCTTAAGAGCTGTTCAATAATAGGTACATACAACTCCTGGAACAACTAGAAAATATAAAAACATTGAGCATGAGCATGGTATCTACTATCTAGATATTAAAACCTACTACTGACAGAGTGGTTGCATGCCTTTACCTGGCTATCTACTCGGCGTGATATAATACCATCATACTCCAGAACAGCTCTGTAGTTTGGTCGTTTTGATCGCTCCTCGCGGCCTCGTTCCAGTGCTTTTGAATATTCCAGTAAACTACCAACAAATGAATATATGGGGTCATGGAAGGAAAAGCTTTGTGAAACCAAGCAGAAGTGCAAAACTAATCATATGCTGGGAATGCAAATTACTGTGAGGGATCAGGCTGTTAAATATTATTAATAACTATTTTAATTATGTGCATTCATGACAGGCAGCCTACATGTAGCATAAAACCAATGTACTTGAATTCATATATATCAGAGCAACATATTTGAAACACAGATAACTTGTGATTACTAACCCAGATTCTTTCCCTCGAATTTCCATATAGCTTATTACATCATGTCCATTGGACCATCAAATAATAGATTGTTAGATGTCGAATTTAATATGCAGCTTTTTCCGACAGTCTGCTGGACTGAAACTAGTGATGTCAAGATCTCCAAAGCATTCTTCAATCTTGGTAGCATAGAACTATATAATTCAATAAGCAATGCTTGATTAAATAGGACAGTAGGTTTTGAGAAAGCGTACAGCTGAAATTTGGCCGGACGTGGCGCTCGAAGTGCCTTGATCTTCTCCTCCAAGGAGAACCTCTCATGCAACGCCGCAATGGCAGCAGCAACTTGAGCAACAGACACAGAGGGCGTCCCAACATTTCCAAAATCACTTCCTTCTACACCTGAACCTCCACCGCCGTCAACACCGACGGCCAAACAAGACCCCGCACGCAGAATAGCCTCCCTCACCGCCGCGATCGCGAAGGATCTCCCGCTACTCTCTCCATACAGGATCCTCAGCTGCGTCCCTAGCCACGAGACGGCGTCGACAAGCCTCGGGCACTCAAACCGTATGGCCCTTGGGTCAACAAACCCAGACCCTCCACCCTCGGCGCCGCGCGCATCCTCCAGGGAGCAGCGCGCCTCCGACGCCGCCGCCTTGAGGCACAGCCGCAGCAGCACCCAGACATGGTCCCTCGTCGCCGCGTCGATCACGACCCCGTACCTCTGCGAGGCCGCGAGCACCCACCGGCGCATCTCGGCCTCCCACCGCGGGAGGCCAGAGCGCTCCGCCGCCGCCACCGCACGTGACGCGGCGTGGGTGTAGGACCCCGGCAGCACGCCGTGGGCGGCGGCGCCCCAGGAGTCCAACTCCCGGCGAAGGAGGCAGAGCTCCGACGGGAGGAGGAGGAGGAGGCCGCGCGGGGGAGAGGACGGGGCGGAGGGGGAGGGGGAGTAATCGGCGCAGTGGGCGGCGAGGAAGGCGGGGAGGGAGGAGGAAGCGGGGGGAGACGGGGTGGTGGTGGTGGAGCGGACGACGGCGGGGCAGTCGGAGTAGCGGAGAGGCGGGCGAGGGAGAGAGATGGGGATGGTGGGCGGCGGAGCAGGAGCCGGACAGGAGAGGCGAGGGGCGGGCGGGAGGCAAGGGGAGGGAGGTGGAGGCGGCCGCGGGGAGGATGGTGGAGGGGATGGTGGCGGGTGGGGGGCATGAAGTTAGGAGGGGAGGTGAGAGAGGCCGGAGGAGGCGTCGGACAGGAGGAAGCGAAGGTGGGCAAGGCCGAAGCCGGCGAAGGGTGCCGCATCAGCCGAAAGTGGTGGTGGATCCATGGGAGGGGAGGGGTTTCCGGCGCCGGCGGCGGGGAAGGGGGATTGCCGCGGCCTGCCGGCGGGTCGTGGGGTCGTGGGTACCCGCTAGTCGATGGGCACAAGAAATTTCACTCTTTGGTGTCTTTGCAGTTTGGCACCTTAATCTTTGAAAACATTCTTAGGCCCTTTGATGGTGAGTTTAGTTCACGCCAAAAATGAAAGTTTGGTTGAAATTTGAACGATGTGACGGAAAAATCAGAAGTTTACTCCCTCCGTCCCAAAAAAAGACAAACTATGGGTTTCCGTGTCCAACTTTAACTGTCTGTCTTATATGAAATTTTTTTATAATTCGTATTTTTATTGTTGTTAGGAGTAGATGATAAAACATGATTAATATTTTATGCGTGACTTGTCTTTTTAATTTTTTTCATAATTTTTTCAAATAAGACGGACGGTCAAACATTGGGCACGGAAACCAGGGTTTGTCTTTTTTTGGGACGGAGGGAGTATGTGTGTAAGAAAATTTTGATGTGATGGAAAAGTTGGAAGTCTGAAGAAAAAGTTTGGAACTAAACTCGGCCTGAATCAAAAGACTTACGTAGGATTTTCATAAGATTCAAATCAAAATTTTCCTATTTGGCCCCTTGATTTAAAAAATTGAAGCTTTCCAAATCCTATGAAATTCTTATGTAATGGCACATTGCATGTGGATTTTTGAAGAAACTTAGCAAGAGCTCCAACCTTTTGGAAAATTCTTTTAAGTCTATCTCTCTCATCTGATTCCTGTGTTTTTTCGTACGGTCCAATCAAACAATCATTCATGTATTTTTTCTATATTTTACAATCATTTATTTTACACTTCAATTCCTGTCGGAATCTTGTGTTTTTCCTATTCCTCCAAAATTTTTTTCAATCCTGCGATACAAAGGGCCCTTAGGCTTTGTTTTCTTTGTTCTAATTAGATCCTTGTCACTGTAAATTTGCTAGTTTTATAAAAATGCCATTGCAATTCGTCTAACTAAATAATATGATTATAGATTTGTTAAAATCGAAAATATGCCACTACTTATCCTTTGGATGCACTAAGATTTCTTTTTGACCAACTTGCCTTTATCTTATACCTTAATCCCATCCTCTTTCTCTCCCCATCCAAGTCATCGATGAGCAAAAGCAGCAGCCCAGTGTCCTCATGTTCATCGACTCCCCGATAGTAGGTGAGGCAAGAGCAACAATAGTAACTGTCCTTATCCTCATCCGACTCACCCATCGAGATCCCAGCAGCACTAGCGGCGACGGCGAGGGAAGCATGAGGCTGCTTCCGCTTCAGATCTACTCCCTCCGTCTCAAAAAAAGACAAACCCTGGTTTCCGTGCCCAACGTTTGACCGTCCGTCTTATTTGAAAAAAAATTAAAAAAAATTAAAAAAACAAGTCACGCATAAAATATTAATCATGTTTTATCATCTAACAACGATGAAAATACGAATTATAAAAAACTTTCATATAAGACGGACAGTCAAAGTTGGACACGCAAACCCAGGGTTTACCTTTTTTTTGGGACGGAGGGAGTAGCTGACAAAGTCAACATCAAGGGGATCTATTTGTGGCAGTGGGGTCAAGGAGGGACCTGCTGCTGCGAAGGACATCGACCATTAGGAGTTCACCGCAGCTTAGCAACACTGTCCTACATCGTGTGAAGTGCAAACTTAACCGTCAACTTCTACATAAAAATATATCAAATATAATATCAAAACTTAGTGGTAGGAGTTTACTACTAATCACTTCCACTAGTTTTAGTAAATCTATGTATGCATGTTATTTAAGGAGAAAATATACCGGACATTATATGAGTGCTCTAGTACTAAGACTCTGGATAAGAAAGAAAGTTCCTACGCAAAAGTAATTTTGTCTAGAGTGATTTCTTTCACGTTCAATAATTCAACTAATTTGTCTGGATAAAGATCTCCCAGTACACGTTGAATTCATATGATGAGTTCCCGCGCGCATCGAGCCTGTCGCAGCTACACTCCATGAAGTTAGAGTGCATGCAAGCGTAGCCCACGTTATCAGCTATAGTATCGTTACCTGTATGTTCGGGTTTAACACGCACCATCGCTACGGGAAATACCTCACGCCTTTCGTTGGCATAGGCATTGCTAGCCACCCATCACCAAGACTAACGACTGGAAACATGAATATGTGGTGCTCGAAGTTGTGCGACACTTCCTTGTGCATGAGCCTGAATAGGCACACATATCGTTGTGGGCACGTAGGAAAACGCCCTGCTGTAAGCTCACAACTCGAAAAATATTTATGGTAAATTGTAAAACCTCTCTTCGGCTCGAATAATACGAAAATCAATGGAATAATACGAAAATCAATGTTATATGGGATGAAACTACCATCAAAGAACATGTTTTTTTTTCAAATTTAATACCTATTTACGCTATTTTGGAGATGGACAGAAACTGAAACAACCAAAGAGTTGCTTGACTGTAGGATGCTCAGTCTGCTCTCATCCTGAAGGATGGTCACTGCAGGGCATCAGTCGTGGCCAGCAAAATGTACTTCCATCACCGTCTTAGACCGAAAAACTAAAACCTTGGAAGGGCATAAAACATAACAGAATGCTGTAGCTGAGTACACATGGAACCTAAATACCACGAGAATACAACCATAGCATGTGAAAATTCTCACAATCAGTTCTTCCAAGCTAAGAGTTGATTCATCATTCTTTCAGAAAATTGGTGTTCAGTAGGGTCTGTAGGCACGACATAGACGCAAACATGACTAACAAAATCCACTGAATAAAATAGGCGGGCCTTCCAGCGTAAAACACACTCGAGAGAACGCTCTAAGCTGCAGCACCCTTGCCCTTCTTCCTCTGGAGCTTCTTCATGTAGAACTCAAGCTCTTTGCCCTCCAGGATGTACCTGTCATTCAAAACGTTCAATGTGATTAAATAGTCCTTGTTAAGTGGGAAATTTCAAAGTTTGTTAAAAGCTTAAAACGGAAATTATCAACATGACTAGTTTAAACCCAAGAATAAGACACCTAACACTCTGAGCATATAAACCAAATGTAAATAAAATTATTAACTCATCAAAGAAAGGAAAGCAGGAACCTATTGTAGTCCTTACCCATCAGCTCTGCCACATTGCCCAGGCCGGGAGGAGATGCAGGCCAAGAGCCTTCCGCTGCCAAATTGCTCTTCAATGTGCGAGTCCAGAGTGCGAGTTTGCTGACGCTTTTCAAGCTTCCTCACAACATGGTTGCTCTTTTTTGCTTCCTCCGTGGCAGCCTCACCCTCTTGTCCCTACATACACAAAAAATGGACATTTTGTTTCAAACAAGGGAGCCATTACAACTACAATTTTACATAGTAATGGACAAAAAACAGCATGAGAATAAAAACGCATAATTTTACATATGAATAAAATAAAGCAAGCATAAAAACATAAAACTGCACTATATAGCTATCAATGAAATGATCAGACGATACTTTCAAATCTGAGTGCAACTTGCATCAAGAAATAATAGCCCAATGTTTAATATTGCATACATAAACAAAATAATAAGGTACCAGGTTAAATGATTCAACAAATCAATACACAAAAGAAGTAGCCAACAAAAAGAGAATGGGACAATAGACAAAGGAAAATTTTACACTAATTTGAACATAGATAAAACAATACAGCAGAACCGCATAGAGCATCTCAAACAAAACAACAAAAAGACGGTTTTGATGCTTATGTAAAACAACCAAGACAAACAGATAATCAAGTAAGTGTGTAGTGAAGGGTACAGAACATTTGGCCACAATAAATAATACCTCAGCAGCATCCTTCTTAGCAGCAGGAGCTTTCTTCTTCCTACCGATATCGACACCATAGTGAGTGAGATACCACTGCTTGAATGGGGCAGCATCAACTTGCACAATGGCACTCTTCACAAGGGTCTGGGTCCTCACAAGCTCATTGTTTGACGCATTGTAGACCACATCAAGGATACGGGTCTTGCGAGTGACAGCCTCACTTCCCCAAGAATAGTTACCAGTATCCAGGCGAAGAGCCCTCCACTTCAGATTTCCTCCACGAACACGGACCCTCCTCACTGTCTTGTTGCTCGACAACTTGGTGTTTGCCGGCTGGCGACCAAGCTCATACCTTAACAACAAACCAGAACGACAATATTACACTCTGGAACAAGAAGCACAAGCAACCAAGTCATCACAATTATCACAGCTACAGCCTACATTTAGCATTTAACATTGTCATGGCTCAATCAAATTCTTCCTAGTGGTGGTCCATTGTTTTTGACAGAAACAACAAAGTCATCAGAATGGAAGCTTGTGCATACAACAATCACAAAACAATCTTAGAATCACACACAGCTGCAACACATATTTAACCATATAATTGCATTAGGTAAATGAGGTGAGGACAATCATCAACGCTATGTGACTTCTGCATTCTAAACAGTGACCGACTCATTCATCAATAATTCAATAATCACATCTTCAGTGGGGAGTAATTTCTTTCACGTTCATAATTTAACTATCTACAACTAATTTGTGGGGAAACAGGGACAAGCGTGTCAAGTTCTAGGAATTTCAGCCACATCCATTTGCAAGCACATCATTCTCACATATAACTATAACCAACTAAAATTGTGGAAAAATGACATACTAGCATCATCTTTCCCAACCATTTATCGAGAGAACACAATTGTCTTTCTAATCTAAGTTTCACTGCGCCAT